TGTCTAGGTAGAAATGAATTACTCGCGCGTTTGCTATCCATCCTGCGCCCAATCTGGCCATTTTACAACAAAATTAATGAGCCCGTGAGTTGTCAAATCGAGTGCTAGGCACACCTTAATCGACATTGGATGGATGCGATGACAACTTTGTAAATAAATTACCACTGCATCTATCTAACAGCCATGATAATTGTACGTTCGATCCAACAACACACAACACGCCTGTAACCACATTCTCACAAGACGTTATGAGCAAAGCAGTCAAAATCGGGATTTTACCTAAAATCGAAAACTGGGGTAAAATCGAAATCGTAAAATCGAATCGTAAAATCGTAGGATTTTAAGTTCCATATAGAAACTAACATATAATCATATTAATAAGGTAAACCATTACCATTACCATTACCAACACAAAGACACATAACATTGAAAATGATAGTTCTCAAGATTAATGTTCCAAGATCATCATTTTAATTGTTATTTAATGCGTAACTAAAATAATTCACGAGGAAATGATAGAGCTCATGGAGCTTGGCTCTTGTTTTTCATGTTGTGTTTAGGTAGTTTAACTCAGAGTAGTACTCCGGTCAGGTTAATTTCAACATGTCTGTTAATCATGATTTAAAACTAATAATATAAGAACTCCAATTGAATAATTAATGCTAGTGGCTTGGCAAAAATGTATTCATTAATCAATTAATGATTTAAAAATGATATTAATTCTTCCGCAAGTACAATATTAGGAAAGCTCTTTTGCAGTTGAGTTCAACGGGACGAAGGGAAAGAGAATGACCGAACCATAATTTGATTATTTTTTTTCTTTTCAAATGTTTTTTAATAGGAAAAATATTTGAGAAGATCCTCATCATTGTCCTTTCTTCCAAATCTGTTCCGCTTTTTTAAAATTTGCTCAAACAACCTATTTTGTTCTCATACGATTTTAATCCCGATTTTGGTAGGATTTTACGATTTTAATCCCGATTTTAAACGATTTTAAGGTCCACCGATTTTATAGTAAAATCAGGATCGGAATCACTAACCCTGTGTTTTTCTACGAGAGAAAAGGGAGGGAGGGACAAGTTGGGACGGAAAGTTGGCTTCCCAAGGTACTTTCCCTTGTTTTTTAGTTTCTGAATAGTATGGAAGGAACGGAATTGGAAGGAAAATTTCACCAACAGCCCCTCCAAAGTGGAGAGAAAACATGATTGTTGTTTTACTTTTTTTCTTCTTCTTCTTCCATTTATGTAGTAATTGTCATGAGTTATGGAACGTAAATTTGGACATAATGCTTTTTGTTGCATACAGTATTTTTTTATTTATTATTTGGCTTGTTGGAAAGATAGTTATGAAGGATGTAGATAATTATAAACTTTGAGACATGGATAATTACGTTTGCAGTTAACATAAAATATATTATAATTAATTATCGAAAAAGAAATAGTATAATAATTAAGATAAATGGTATAAATCTTACGTGAACATGTAAAAGTGTGTTACATACTAAAATCCTAGATTATCAAACCGGTTTATACATCTATGTCGGTTTAGTAAGTGATATGGTTTGACTGGGGTATAACCCATTTATATGCCGGCTTATAACGATTATAGTCAGACCATTTGTTTTCTCAATTTTGACCAACGATGGACACTCACCGGACCTTTAGCAAGAAAGAATAAATTTGATCCTGAATAGTATTGAAAATAATACCAACTCATAATAAATTATTTTATTCTTACATAATTAATAATATATATATATATATATATCATTTTCCCTTCTCCTTTTACTATTACAATCAAATTATTTTACTATTACATACCAATAAAATAACATATTCATCACACTTCCCTTCCCACTTTCCTCCATAAAACAACATTTTCCTCCCAATTTCCTTCACCTCCAAATCTCCCCTCCCCTCCTATTTTTCCTTCACATCCCCTCCTTTTCCTCTCTTCCTTCGGAAACATATATAGGGTAAGTAAAATCCTACGATTTTGACTGCTTTGGTTATGAGCACCATAATCAGATTGCATCTTATCTTATCCCATCCTCAACAGGAAGAAGAAGAAGAAAAAAATGGACCCGCCCCTGCTGCATGACACATCAAGACAAGAGCAAGACTTGATTGATGACAATGATTTTCACCTCTACAGTAATTAAGCACTGACAACCCTTTTGTTTACAGCCTCTCGTTGTCTCCACAATTTGAGCAAAACAAATAGACATGGCCAGGTTTCTGGCACCATGTTATCGGTTCAGAATTTGTGCCGATGAGAACTTTGAAAGTGATTGATGGAAAATTTTGAAAGACCAAAATCGTGGCAGTGCAGAGAAGGCAGGTGGTGGCGGTACAGCAAAACAGAGCATATCTTGGCTGTCTCGAAATGATTTCCTGCAGCGTCGGCTTTTTCTTTGAAATATCACTCTCTAGTTTTCTCCCTCTTTCTTCATGGTCTCAAGCAGACAAAACCACTACAGTCCTCTCGACCTAGAGGCTAGAGCCATCCCCAACTGTAATAAGTTGTTGCAGAAGGGAGAAAGAAAAAGGCACACGTGCTACATGGGCTTGATTCGAAATTTGTCGTAGCTAATTAGCTAGAGCGTTTATCTATGTATACACATTCCATTTCGTCATTTGCGTTTATGACATAACATGTTAACGCAAGATAATTTGGATGAAGAATTTCGATCTGAGATAGATAGGGTGAAGGTGACTATAATGATTTCAAATTTCAACGACAAATTCTCAACATCATATGTGGTTATGGTTTTTTTTTTTATTTGCTTGTTATAAGGACGTTTCAATTACTCTAGATATATATATAGGACGAAATTCATATTGACTTGAAAATTTCTTTTGTCAACCTATCGACATGCTTAAAAGAATCGTCCATCAAAATGTTATTTTTCATGATAAAGAAATAAGACAAACTTATAACAAAACTTCAAGCATTGATCTCGACATATGAATCATGCTTGAAAGAAGTTCATTCCGCACATGAATCATGCTTTAACAAATCAGCTTATGTACTCAACCGTCTTCGTGTTGTCATTTTATCCTCCATATTTATGATCGATTAGAGGGAAACCGTTAGGAATTTAGGAACTTCTGGAATGCATCAAACATTAACGACACAGTCAACCACTGATCATGCAACATTATAATTAATTCGACAGATCAGGTTCAGTCCTGGTTGGCTCTGACAGTCCTGGTCGTGGATTGCAACCAAATTGGTCGAAATTAATTTACCGAATTTACGATGTAATGTTACATATTTCGACTTCTCGTCTCCTTTCCAATTATCATGGTTCAATCAGCCCTCATTAAGATTCCTGACTACACCAGTACCGATTATTGCCGATTACAAATTTGTTGAATATCTAGATGAAACGAATTTGTTAGGATGGAAAAACGAATTTGTTAGATTTGTACACTTGCTACTTGCTAGTGAAGTTCCCTCGTGAGTCGTGACTGAGAGATAACGGTTCTTCGAGACACCAATTGCTTGCCTGATCACTTATGGGTATTTGTGAATCAGTGAATTGGGTTTGACCTAGTGGCACGTTACGCCATGCCCCTGCCACTTGTTTTATGACACTCGTATTATTAGTTTTGGTGAACATCATATTTGTCCTTCTTTTATTTACAAGAGAGAATTTCACTTGATACTAAAGAGTGCATATATAGTTGTACCACAAAAAAAAAAAAAAAAAGAGTTTATATATAGTGACACAATTATAGATCAAGGATGTGAATCCATTTCAGAGAAAGATTAACATCTTCCGAGTATTGTCGGTAATCTACATTAACAGGAGAGAATTTGGTATCATTGAATAGAGCACTCCAAACTTCACTCACTATACTGCCACTGGGTTATCGGCCCTAAACTGAGATATAGTTAATGCCAGAGAATCAGACGAACTCCTTCCTACAGGCTACAAGAGATCGTGACTGAAAAACAATCTGTAGAATGCTCGTGAAAAATGAGCCATCGAAGCACAAGTGGTCTCTAGACTCTCCAACACTCAACACTAAGAACTGGAAGGGCATACACTTATAATACAATGCCAACTCTATTACTCAAATCCCATATGCAACTGAGTAAAACCGTGCGGGCTTGGCTCAAAGCGGACAATATCGTACTAATAGAGCAGTCCCATTTGTGACAGGGAAAATTGTGTAATGACCATATGCCAACTCTATTACTCAATCCCCATATGCCAACCTTGTTGGATTACTTATCTGTGTATTGACTGTTTGATACGATTTCCTTCTTGGATGTTTGTGTTAAAATAAAGCAATTAGCTTTTGCTCAATCGACATCAATAATTCAATATGCTCTTTTATTCCCCTTTTGTCCATACATGAAAAGGTTATGATCAATTTCTTCAATCATTGATCCGTGACACGACAAATTAAAGCAAGTAGGGCAAGATTTCTTTCATCTTTGCATGATAGGATATCGTTATGAAATCCCCAAAATACCATTGAATACAATATTATTATCATCGTAATCATTCTTCCCACCCGAAAACGGCTCGTCGATCCATAGGCAATAGGCATCGCCAGATGATTATGGCTTTATCACAAATACATGTAAATTTTGGTATAAAAAAAAAAACAAATTACTATGTATGCTTATAAAAAAAGGATCTATATTACATTGAGGTAGCGATGTACACTAGTTTGGTCCGGTTTAGACTTGACGATCTATATCATATTTGGCTCGATATGATTTTATCCAAGAGTCGGTATGGTGCGATGTTATGCGAATCGTCCACACTAACAATCCACGAACCAACCCGCTATTGCACACTACTACCTAATCCTAAAGGTGACATGAAAGTATTTATGCCACTACAGTTAAGCTCACTTCTTGTTATTTAATTGTCATGAAAATTAATTAATTGCATTGTAAATGAAATACCCATTAAAATCATTCATATTCTACAAAAAAAAAAAAAAAAGAACACACCTAGTTTACCAAACGACTTAAGCCCAATACTACTTAAAACGCACTACGTACAAAGCCCTTAAGCCTCAAACCCATTGGCCATTTCTCCTCCCCGTCTTCTCTTTTCTCTTCCTCTCGCTCTCTCTCTCTCCGGCCATGGCTCCGACCTCATCCCAGCAGCTGCTCCAGAGCTTCCGGTCCTCCAACCTCGAGGAAGAGGTAAGCTCGGAGCTCGAGGAGATTCTATCGGACACCCAAACGCCGTACCACCGGCGGCTGAGCGCCGCCACGAGAGTCGAGCTCGGGTTGCTCTTCAACCTGGCCGCGCCGGCCATCATCGTCTACCTCCTCAACAGCGTCGTCTCCATGTCCACCCAGATCTTCTGCGGCCACCTCGGCAACCTCGAGCTCGCCGCCGTCTCCCTCGGCAACACCGGCATCCAAGTCTTCGCCTACGGCCTCATGGTATGTAATTATCGAACGCATTACCCCAACGACTGATGGTCGTGAAAGCAAGAAGATAAACATTTTTTTTATGAGGGTGATAGGGGTTCATTATTTTTTGTTTGTTTTTAGCAACCATTGTTTCGTCGCGAAAAAGTCGCTTTGTTACAGCGAATCAGGAATCACCCCATCCATATGTAACTCATAAAATCCGCTAAAAGTTCTAATTTACGTAGTATCGAGAATAGCTGGTAAATACTCTCTTCAATATAAGTCTATATGAATGTACACTTTTATGCGTTTAAAACTTTCATTTTCGTAACGGTTTTATTTATCCCGTTTTATTTGATGGTGCTCATACTAAACGTGTCTGACATAATTAGTAAATGATTTAAATTGACCACATGAACCTAATTGATACATTTAATTTAATTCTAAAACAATCAAATATAATATAACTTATCACTATTAATCGTAATATTAGACGTACTCAACTTACTAATCTCCTTCTTTCCCACACGAAATCTGGTTCCCCTTATTATGACCAACAACCGTACGGTGGCTGACAGCAAGACAAATACAATTGTCGCCAAAAGACCTTTAGCTACCATTATAATGTTCTGTCGCGAAAAGAACATCTTTTCGTTACAGCAAACAATTAGACCGTACCACTAATTTAGAAATTTCAAAATAAATAACTTACCCGTACCGTATTTTCGGATCGCATTTTAGTGGTCCAACCGGCATTAGACCGTTTAAAAACCGTTAGAGATTTGGTACCTAATAAACGTTATCAGTATAAATAGTTGACATTTCTTAATCAGAGCTCGTCTCTTTCCTTCGAAATTGTGAAATGGAAATAAGGATTCAGTTTGAGAGCCCGATGTTTTTGGTTTATTTCAATTTTCTGCAATTTTCTTAATTAAATTTAACGGTTGAATGGCAAAAACCGGACGAGTGGCTCGAGCGGTTAACCGCCTCTGGCCGCTCGTCAACCGCTACATAAAACCGGAGCGGCTTCTAGACTGTTCCAAGCCGATTTTGTGATCGGGTGACGGTTTTACCGGTCGGGCCGAACGACTCGGTTCGGCTTTAATAACACTGCGTATTTTACTAACGACGTTGTCGTTTTGTTGCGTGGCACAGCTCGGGATGGGAAGCGCGGTGGAGACGCTCTGCGGGCAAGCCTACGGAGCCAGCAAGTACGAGATGCTCGGAATCTACCTCCAGCGGTCGACGATCCTCCTCGTCATCACGGCGCTGCCACTGATGGCGGTCTACATCTTCTCCAGGCCGATCCTGATCCTGCTCGGCCAGTCGCCGGAGATCTCCTCCGCCGCCGCGATCTTCGTGTTCGGCCTCATCCCGCAGATCTTCGCCTACGCGGCCAACTTCCCCATCCAGAAGTTCCTCCAGTCGCAGAGCATCATCGCCCCCAGCGCGTACATCGCACTCGCCGCGCTGGCGGTCCACCTGCCGCTGACGTGGCTCGCCGTGTTCAGGTGGGGGTGGGGCCTGCTCGGGGCCGGGCTGACCCTCAGCTTCACGTGGTGGCTGATTGTGGCGATGCAGTTTGTGTACATAGTGACGAGCAACCGGTGCCGGAAGACGTGGCGGGGTTTTAGCGTCCAGGCGTTTTCCGGTCTCTGGGGGTTTTTCAGGCTCTCCGCCGCCTCCGCCGTCATGCTGTCGTTGGAGTTGTGGTACTTCCAGATCTTGGTCCTCATCGCCGGGTTGCTGCCCGACCCGGAGATCGCCCTCGATTCGCTCTCCGTCTGGTAAGTCGAAAATTCGAGAATTTAATATTTCGAAACTTTAAAATAGCGCTAATAAATAACAATATACGAGAATAACCGATTATGGGAGTTACATGGGTACGTAATATGTATGCATTGATAGTCTCTAACGAATTGATAATGTTCAACATTATGATTGCAGCATGGCGATTTTTACGTGGGTTTACATGATCTCCGTTGGGTTCAACGCCGCTGCCAGGTCAGTACGTAGTCATTTTAATTCTATCTTTTCTCTCTCTATCTCTGACTCGGACTCTGACCTACTCTATTTTACTAATTTTTTTACGGTATTTACATGAAAGTTTATACAATTTTGAGAGTTGAGGGACTGGGAGAGCTACAGCCCCTCCTACCCATAACGTGGCTCCGCGTCACTGCATGGGTGTCCAACTCGATTCAACTCGATTAAACGGGGTAAAACTCATTGTTGACGGATTTTAGGTCGGCTACGAATTTTTTCGCTTTGTGAATTGACGGGTTGGGATGAGCATAGGTTTTTATCAAAATCCAACCCGCTTTCCACCCTACCAGCACCCGAACACGTAATTAACGTCATTTTCTATCAAACATGAGAAATATAGATAGTTTATGGATGTTATTAGTCTTTATGATAATATAAACCTAATAACATGAATAATTGATTAATGTTATTAGTCTTGACAGAGATATATTTGTAGAGAAAATTTGGATGATAATTACGATGCATATGTATTTGAAGAAATAATGTATGATTATGTTCGTGGTGCAGTGTCCGAGTGAGCAACGAGCTAGGAGCAGGGCACCCGAAGGCGGCGGCGTTCTCGGTGGTGATCGTGACGTGGTCGTCGTTCATTGTCGGGGTGGTCGCCGCCATCCTGGTGATGGCATTCCGCGACGTGCTGAGCTATGCGTTCACCGAAGGTGAGGTCGTGGCGGCGGCGGTGTCGGAACTCAGCCCCTTCCTGGCGGCGACTCTCGTCTTGAACGGCATCCAGCCGGTTCTCTCCGGCGTGGCCGTGGGATGCGGATGGCAAGCATTCGTGGCGTATGTCAACGTTGGTTCTTACTACGTCGTTGGTGTTCCCATTGGGATTCTCTTCGGCTTCACGTTCAATTTGGGAGCTAAGGTGAGATCTCATTTTTCCGTTATTCCGCCCATAGAAATGGACCGTCAAATACTATTTGATCGATTGATGTCGCAACTCTGATCTACTGAGCTATTAACGCGATTGTGGTGGTAAACGTTACGATTTGGTGGGTGGTAATAGGGCATATGGTCAGGGATGATCGGAGGCACCTTCTTGCAAACATTGATTCTGATTTGGATCACTTATAGGACCGATTGGAATGTCGAGGTACGTACTAGCTAAGTTTGTTCTAGTTTCACATTGCATCTATTATCTATATATTTTCCTGCTCTTGTCACTATATATTAGTACGAGAAAGAGCTTTTGCGACGAGAAAAAAAAAAAGAGAAGGAAAACAGTCAGCCCCCGAGCTTTTCTTTGGTCACCAAAAGTTTTTTTCCCCGTTTTGGTGCTTAAATTGCGGGAGCCAAACGGGGTCCATAAATTGTGGGACCAAAATTTTCCCCATTAGTGGGCCTTGACTTTGTACAGACTGACAGAAGGACAGGCCATTATTCTTAGTGGCGGTAGGGTTTTTGGGTAATTTTTGTTTTTTACCATTAAGCCCATTCTAGATTCCTTGATGTGGGCCAGTACGGAGATGGGCCTCTAGCTATTGAATTATTAAAGCGAATTTTAGTTTTTATCCATTATGGGCCGGCAGTATTTTCGGACAGGACTCCTGGGCCCAATCTCTTTAGACTTGCAACTTGATATGAACGTTGTTTATCTTCATAACCATCAATCCATCATGAGTGACTCATGCCCAAAATTGTTTGATAGGGTTGCAAAATTACTTCGGGTTTTTCTTTTCCTGGTTAATCGAAAATCTAACCCGTGAACTGTCTTATCATTTTTCATGATATGTTATAAATTTGTTACGATTGAGAGTTTATACTCATGTGTTCGTCATCTAATATTTTTTCCTCTCAACTTTGACACATTTCTAAATCACAACATATCATCTTCTGATCTGTCACGAACCTGCATGCCTCTACTTTGGTTTATCATAGTTTCGCCTAAATCGAAGAGTTTGACACATCAAGTCATCAATCCAAATAAATTTCACTCTAAAATTAAAATTCAAACACGAGACTTTTTCTATCACATAGATAGGTGATGCTCTTACACCATCCTGTTCTTTCATGTTATAGTGTGTGTATTCTTGAGCTTAAACTTGATTTGGTTTTCTTATTTTTTTCAGGTGGACAGGGCCAAGGAAAGGCTAACAAAGTGGGATGATAAAAAGGAATCTGTCCCGGAGAACCAAGAAAGATTGTTGTCCTCTTAGGTGTACAGAAATCAAGCAGCATATATATGCCTGCAATTTCTTCCCTCCAATGAGTGAGGAGTGATCTTTCTTCATGTAATCGATCACCTATAGAACTAAAGGGAATCGTTTTCTGCTGCAAAAATATGTAAAAACTTTTAACGAAACCCTAATAAAGATCGATTTTTGCTCTATGGAAGAAAATCATGTGAAAAAAGACACGTGTTGTGATATATATCTCCATCATGTCTTAAAATAGTGTTGAATCGGTAGAGGACATAAAATTTGTTGATATATATTATTTGAATCAGACTATTTGATAATGACGGGAAGTCTATTTGATAATGACGGGAAGTCACGAGGGTCTCGCTGTCCAGTCAGCGAGTGGGATCGAAGGACAACACCTAGTTCAGGAGGTTCGGGGAGCGATGCTTCTCCCGACAAGGGGTTTAATTAAGGGCAAAGCCCTATCCACGGTGTATGGGCTTATACACGTTTAGGTTTATGTCATGAGCCTAGTTTGCAACATTATTTTTACCATATTAGATTAGGGTTTAGACTAGCGTATGTTAGGTGTACGCTTACCTTACCTTACCTTACGCTCGTCGAGTTTTGTTATTTAGATCATGAATTAACTGAAGTTGGGACATGATACTATACTCCTAACCCCTAATGAGTGAACCTCAGTCCCTAATTTTCTAATATGAACCATGAGATTCGTTTAATCTTGAAATGAAAATTAACAGTTATGATTCGTCGAAATTATCAAAGTACAAATAATAGGTGTGAACTAGTCCAGTTCATTTGTTAATATTTCATTCAAGTTTTATATGAGCCCAATTAATAAGCATGTTATTGGTGATGTAATTTAGGTGTTCAGTAAGTAGGTTAGTTAGAGTTCGCAATCCGAATTCAATCCAATCTATCCAATAAAAACACCGAAGTAGTCCAATTCATTTAATCCACATTCAATTCACTAAAAACAACGAACCTGTCCAGTATTCATACAAACATTTTAGTACCTAAACTTTACAAAATGATCCAATGTTTGGAGGTCACTTATATCCATGAATCCAACCCAACAATGTATTTGATCCAACTCATGAATCCATCAAGCCATTTGATCCAATCTATAAATCTACCGATTTATGAATCCACTAATCCACTCGTTTCTCCTTTTTACCAAAGAATAAGTTAATATGATTGTCAATACTCTCCTTTCCTCCCATCATTTTTCTATAACGCATAAAGTGTTAGACGATAATTGATTAGATCGAATTCCAAAATTAAACAACGGGCAAGTGTCCATAACATAGCCAAGCTACCATGTCCGTTGCTTTCTGCAGAGTGGTCTGTGTGAAGCTGTTGGTGATTCTGTATGCTTTCTTTTTAAGGTTTGATTGGCTCTAAGGATTGCACCAAGACTGGACAGGGTTGGCAGATTGGGATCCCGCTGTTTCTTGGGCGAACACCTGTTATGGAAGGTTTCATTGGCTGCTGTGTTCTGTTGTTGGCTTGATGTAGCTCTCTACTTGCAGTAGTCGGATGTCTTTCGGATCGTAGCAGTCAAAAATACGATTCTACGTATAAGTGTTTTGGTGATTTTAAAGCGTAAAAGTATAAGTTTTTAATCTTTAAAACTCGATGTTGATTACATTAGTTAGAAAAAAATACAATTCTAGATAAAAACGTGATTTTGACTACATTAATTAGCGCCTAGCTATGTTATGTTGGGTGGGGAAGGGCCCGCATCGCATTTAGAGGTTTGGTATATAGTAAAAAGGACATTGTTTGGCGCGGGTGGACAAAGGTGACATAACGATATTCTTGGTAGATTAGAAAAAAAAAACTAAAGAAACATTACATTCTTAAGCAAATCAGTATTATGTCATCAGACGTACATAAGAAGTTCTGAATATTAGTTTGATGTCCAATCCGTTGGTCGGAATGTCATTTGAATATGATGTATATACGATGTACATTCTAAAATTATCAAAATATTTCAAATGTTTATTTCTACCCAGTAGCTAGAAATTGTTGATAAGATACACAGTACTGAGTACTGATAAGTATCTATATTGTACTTTTCCAAACATTCTAACCTCCCATGACTTCCAATCGACAACATATAATTCAATTCAAATTATATCAACACTAATTTATGATTTACCTATAACATTTCGCTTTAAAAATATCGTTGCACATACGACCTAACAATAATATGGACATGATAACAGCCAACATATCGTAGAATATTGGAATCAATATGTAGCTACTTTTTTTTTTCCTGCCTAACTGTTCGAGTGATAAGCACATAGGTGATTCTTCCACTGCTAGCTGCTTGCTTTCTTCGCCATGTGATTTCCTGCCACAATAGTATTAATGCAATATGCAAAAGGAGGGGTATGTTAGCTTATGTTGGTACTATATATTCATACCAAAGTTAGGTGCTTCGTACTTCTTTTCTTTCTCACTGTTAGCAACTTTGAGAATATATATGTCCTCTCAGTTATCCACTATAGCTAGTCCATTGAAATTTGCATGGTACTTGAGCATGTTATGGGGAATGAGTAGAGTAGGGAAAACAAAGGAAATAAATGACACATGTGGTTCACTAATAAGATACGCACTATACTCTAAGCCTATATTTTAGGCGTGGCTTGACATACATAGTATTCTTGTGATTACTTCGACCCACTCTTCCATTAGTGAAATTTGCTATAGGATAAAAGAGTGATCGACAAAGCAAGATAACAAATGACACGGGAAATTGCATGTTTTACTAATATAATGTACATTAACTGACCATGTACAGAGAAAATAATACATTATTTTGATGAAAGTGTACAAATTATAGATGGTTACGGATGCATATATATATATATATATATATATATATATATATATATATATATATATATATATATATATATATATATATATATATATGGTGGCTTCTATGGTACCCCGGGTGAAATCCGGGGTACCGCATACCTCGAGTATGTAAACTCTATCTAGACCTCGAATTACCATGATTTTTGTGTCTGATATTATACCCTAACCCTTAATGAGTGAACCGTAGGTCATAATTATCTAAATCATAATCTATAAACCCTAAGATGGTGCATTCCTTTTTGTGCCTATATTTGGATGAATCATAACCGTCGATTATTGTTTCTAATTAAATTGATCTTGGAGTATAAGATTGGGAGAGTTAACACATAGATTTTGATCTTTAAGTGTTAGAGTATAGTATCATATCCGAAAGATCGGTCAATTCAAGGTCTAGATAGTGTTTTCATACTCAAGGTATGCGGTACCCCGGATGTCACCCAGGGTACCGTAGAACTCGCCATATATATATATGGCAAAGGCTAGCGTATGACCCGGCGTACCCTAGCCTACCGTACGCCCCATTGAGTTTTGCTATTTAGACAAAGAATTAATCGGAGTTTGGGACATGATACTATACTCTAACCCCTAATGGGTGAATCCCAGTCCCCAATTCACTAACCCAAAGCATGAGATTATATATATATAAAACCCTACTCTTAATTAGATCCAAATATAAAAAAAGGTAAAAACGATCCTGAAACCAAAATGCAAATTTGTAAAGCTTAGAGGTGGCGGTTCGGTTCGAATAATCGAACCAAAAATCATTAGAAAATGAAATGTGATAGCCAATTGCTTGAAATCAAAACTGTTAAGTGCTTACTGAAAACCAATAAGCTCTTAACGGATTTGGTTTCGGCCTGAAAAGATAAAGAATGAACTTTCAATTGCATTAAGGCTTTATCAGTTTAATAACCTATTTTGGTTTTCACTAAAACCGTCAAGGGCTTATAGATTTTTACTCTTTAAAGGAAACAGATGAGCATATAAAACCATTTCAGTTAAAATCGAACCGAACTACAACCCCTACGTTTGGATTACAACAAGACTACTCCATATTACCAATCGTACCGCAAAATAACCTGATCATCTTGCATATAGATTTGTATGAATGTGTAGATAATATAATGTATATGTCTATAAACATATAGTGTTTCATTCTCATTAGTGATTCTTCATGCCTCAACAATTTTGTTGCAAAAAAGAATCACCATATCGATATGTTCCCCAAGCTCATCGTCACTCACACTTCTTTCATGTTCTGAAAAAATTCGTTTGTTATTCCTTTAGCTTTTTCCCATTTTCGGTTACAATATCTCTACATTTTCAGTTGTTTGTTGTGCAGAATCTGATTAGGGATGTTCCTTCTAGTTTTAACAATCACAGTTCGTCGTGTGTGGTTGCGTAATTTATCAAAAAATTTACATGCATTAGCCATTGGCCATCCTTTTCTTCCCACTTGCTAGCTAGCTAAGCTTTATCTCTTCTAATTGCGTGTGTGATCATCATATATAAAGCACTTAAAAGGGAAACCCTAGCTAAGCTTGATAAAGGAATTCGATTCCCCTTTTATTACTTTTCAACCATGTTTGAGCTATAGTTGTTAATGTTTGAGAGAACGACGTTCATTCGACTCACTTTAAGTATCATGTACTCTTTGTTACTCTCTACGACAAGAAATTGATATGTTTGGATGACTTGATGAGCATTAGGTGAGATATAGTGATGAAATTAGAAATATGAATGAGAGGGTTAGAAAAACTATAAACTCAAAGGATTCAAATTGTGGTAATTAAGGAGCGGAGCTAAAACCTTTTTTTTCACATAGAAATGACAAAGAGAAATTAGTATAAATACAAACAACAACAACAATCCACCTTACACCCTTAATAAAAAAACCCACAGAAGTCAACATACAAAGTCGAAAGAAACTAACTCTACAAGAGACAATACTAGTGCCTTTCACACCATTGTATGAATAGTCCCATTTGCAGGTCATGAAACTTCCCTAAAAACTAAGACTCCAGAGAAGGAAGAAGACGATTGAAGACAATCACGAAGAATAGGCCCACCCAAAGAATTCGAATGCACCCTTTGCTAAAGTTGACGAATAACGATCAGAATCACCTTAAATCGTAACATTAGGAATTTGACGGTTGATCACAAGAAAGAGAGCATCACGAGCAATGAGGAGCTCAACTACATATATGTGTCTGGAATACCTTGGTGATGAGCCCCCGTGGCTAGCTAGGAATGGTTGCTTAGTAGGGATCCTCGTGCATGGTGAATAACCAAATTCCAATTAAAATGACAAACATTATCATTCAGAGCTAAAATCTTATCGACTAATTTATTGTTTATCACAAAATTCTATATGCGATTTAATATACTTTTGATAGATGAGACTTGAGAGGGCTATACGTTGTAAACCTACCTTCAATGTGACTTCACCATTGATATTGGAAGACATAACTAGACATATATATTCTCTCCATTTCGTGGTACCTAGTTTAAACTTTAAAAGTGCTTTTTCCCCCTTTCTTCTTTCTTTCTTTCTCGTCTCCCTTTTCTCACGCCTACAAATCAAAGATGTCCAGATCTTTCTTCATCTATCGATGTAAGATACCGCAACAACTTCAAATATTTACCCCTTACAAAAGTTTTTTTTTTTTTAAATGAGAGTTCATCTGAATAATTAATTAACTATAAAAAGTTGAATTTTGGTCAAAACATAAAACTCACCTGAAAGACTTCGTGATTTCGAATATATCCACTCTTCCATAAAGATCCCCTTGAAGCGATTGGTTACAATAATTAAATCTTGGTTACGTATAATGACAACAAAACATTAATTAGTCGCAGGTTTTGGTTCCTACATCGCCGTGGAAGTAACTAACCAAAGTCCCAAACTGATTTTTTGTTTGTATACAACAATAATTTATTTATTTACTTATATACAAAGCCTGTACCACAGCTGTCCCCTGTACATATAAACATTAATTATTATATATATATAGATTTTTCCTCATATCTGGGAACTGACAAGAAATGCGAGATTATCAAGGAACCCTAGCCTAGCTAATGCATATAAAGAACGTTTTCTCAATCCATGAAAAGATCGGTAGGTGTGAGATTAATCCAGGATCGACCATCTGTCACAAACTCCACAAAAGAATCTCGATCGATTGATGTTGTAACTCCAATATATTTTGGTTGACGTTATAGTAACGTCTATTCTTATGTTGAGCAAATAGGTCTTCAGTTTTACGAAACGACTCACTATGATTTTTAGTTTCTAACTTGCTTTTGGTAGTGGAAGAGAGTTGTATATATAATTATATATATATATATATGATCCGAAACTAATTCTCCTCAATAACTCGAGTTATTGGTACTAATTGATTCATGACATGTATCGGAGCTAGTTTTGGTCAAGTGATCCTACATAACCTCATTATTAACATGAAACTAAAGCACATGATAGGCAGATAGGGTGATATTGTGCAAATTTCAAACCTATGAGTCAGTTTTCGTTTGAGAGAGCGTATAAACAAATGTTTTTTTTTACGATTCATAATAAACCTTCTCGTAACAATTTGAATTATTGAGACCAGTTGGTTGACGAGAGTTAGACACCCAGTACAACTCCTAACTTTAATTTTATTGCCTATATATAACTTCACACATCCTAACCCTCCTTTTTAAGTTCTCACATCATTAGCATCCCAAACTCCGTAGTTACAGAATACCAATTTCTCCCTCTCACATGGCCATGTCGTCGGCCGACAACGACACGTCATCAACGGCCGCATGCAAATCTTCATCGCTTCTTGAAAACGTCTTATCGGATTCCAAGCTCTCGCCGGTGCACCGCCTCCGAAAGGCCACCGCGATCGAGCTGAAAGCTCTCTTCCGCCTGGCCGGCCCGGCTATCGTCGTCTACATGCTAAACTACGTCGTTTCGATGTCGACCCAAGTCTTCTGCGGCCACCTCGGCAACCTCCAGCTCGCCGCCGCCTCCCTCGGCAACGGCGGCATCCAAGTCTTCGCATACGGCCTCATGGTAACGTTTATGAACACATTTTTAGATCCGTACATGCATGTCCAATGACCATTATACCCTTAACTAGTAAAAAACAACGTTTTTCCGTGGATTGAAAAAAACATACGTGAGGTTGTACAAAAAAGTCAACGACATAATATTTTAACTTGAAATCCTAATTTAATCGTAATTCAATTATTTCATATCGTCAAAATACTATTTACCGGATCGATCTTGTTTTTATAAAAGATTTTTCAGATCGAACTGTCGCTACAATATGTTTTTCTTAATCATTGTGTTTTTTTCCTTGTTGCAGCTAGGAATGGGCAGCGCGGTGGAGACGTTATGCGGTCAGGCCTACGGCGCCAAAAAGCCCGAACTTCTCGGCCTATACACCCAACGCTCCGTCGTCCTCCTCACGGCCACCGGAATCCCGCTGACGATCCTCTACGTCTTCTCCAAGCCCGTCCTGGTCCTGCTCGGCCAGTCGCCGGACATCGCCTCCGCCGCCGCGCTCTTCGTCTACGGCCTCATCCCGCAGATCTTCGCCTACGCCGCCAACTTCCCCATCCAGAAGTTCCTCCAGGCGCAGAGCATCGTGGCGCCGAGCGCGTACATCTCACTCGCGGCGCTGGGCCTGCACCTCCTCTTCAGCTGGCTCGCCATCTACAAACTGGGCTGGGGCCTGCTGGGTGGGTCCCTAGTGCTGAGCCTCTCTTGGTGGGCCGTCGTCGCGGCCCAGTTCGTCTACATAGCGGCGAGCCCGCGGTGCAAGGAGACGTGGACCGGGTTCAGCTCCCAGGCGTTCTGCAAGCTGGGCCAGTTCGCGAAAATCTCGGCGGCTTCCGCGGTGATGCTCTGTTTGGAGTCTTGGTATTACCAGATCTTGGTTCTGGTTGCCGGGCTGCTCAAAAATGCCGAAATTGCCCTTGCTTCCCTCGCCATATGGTAATTACAAAAAAAAAAAAAATGAAAATCTCATTTACGTAGTATCCCGGATGATTGGGACTAGTCGACGGGACTAGTCGACGGGAGAGATTAATTAATTAACGCGTGTTGTTTGTACTACAGCACGACAATATCAGGATGGGTGTACATGATATCAGTGGGCTTCAACGCGGCAGCAAGGTAATTAATTAGTTCTCTAATTAGTAATTACTATTGATTAATTACGGCAACAACTAATTAATCAGGGGGTTGATTATGTTTTATGTTTGTGCAGCGTGAGGGTGAGCAATGAGCTAGGAGCAGGGCATCCGAGGTCAGCATCCTTTGCCGTGTGGACGGTGACAGTGATCTCATTCGTCATCGCCCTGGTGTTGGGCGTTGTAGTCTTGTTGTTGCGTGACGTCATCAGCTACGCCTTCACCGGCGGCGTCACGGTGGCGGCCGCCGTCTCGGAGCTCAGCCCTTTCCTCGCGGTTTCCATCTTGCTTAATGGAATTCAGCCGGTTTTATCCGGTAAGTGAAAAAAATTTGAGATAATCATTTCGATTATATAAGTTATGGAACGGGGCATAGTTGTGTCTATCTGATTAATTTTGATTGACGGGTAGTTAATCAAGAAACTGATATGTGAAAGAAGATTATGTAATGATGATAAGATTCAACCCGTTCTACAAAAAAAAAAAAAAAAAATCTGATTAAAATTTTTAATGATAGCTTGATAATATCTTGAAGAATTGGCTATGTTATAAGGATTAATGTGAAAATTATTTTAATATATGTGAAAATAGGAGTGGCGGTTGGTTGTGGATGGCAAGCGTTTGTCGCCTATGTAAACGTTGGATGTTATTACATAGTGGGCCTGCCCTTGGGTTGCATTTTGGGCTTCAAGTTTGATCAAGGAGTCAAGGTATATTCATATATTAACCACTAATCCTAAATCATCTTGTTAATTAGTATTACCTTACTCTAGTAAATATAAATCCTTGGAAGGGATTAACAAAAAAAAGTTTATTGGTGAATTCAAAACAGGGGATATGGACCGGAATGATTGGAGGAACGTTCCTGCAGACAGCGATATTGTTGTGGGTTACTTATCGAACTGATTGGGATATAGAGGTATAATCATAATAATTGGACTTCTTGAATAGTTTTATTTGCGTTTTGAAAAACTAACATCACTACTGTGCTTTTATGTTTTTATCACAGGTGAAAAAGACAAAAACCCGTCTGGAAAAATGGGAGCATGGGACACTGATGATCCAAGAGAACGAATCATGATTGATGATATGAATTGATAATAGAAAGTACAATCCAATTAACTAATACTTGAAATTTGGATAGGGTAATGAGTGTTGTCTAGATCTCATTGAAATGACTACTCGGATTGTGCTACAATATTTGTTATATTGATACGTAATGGAGTGTTCAAAACAAAATACTGCGAGGAGAAAACAAATCATATTCATCCCCTTTTTTCAATTTACTTAGCTTATATATAATAATTGAGTGTTTGATCATTAAGGAAATGAACCTTAGCTAGCTTGTTAAGAAATGTGATTCTTGTCAACGATGACAAAATATTTTGATGAGACATCTACGAAGGTGACAGCTGTTGTTACGGTTCATACCTCCTCAAATAGTGTTCTAATGCAAGTGTTTGATGTAGAAGGAATATACATTGCCTTTCACTACTCTAAAGGAGATTCTTTGAGTGCTCCATGACTATGACTATGGAGAATGCTTTATGAACAAGTGCTCCGTAACTACGGTTACGGAGAAAAGGGAAATAGAGAGATGAGATAAGTCGTTTCTTTTTTGTTGGATTGTTTTCCCCTCTCAAGAAAGTGCTTAAAGTTTTTATGTGAAGAGCTACCCAGCCTCTCTCTATCCTCTTTTTTGAAAATTAACTCAACGTAACATCCAAACGAGTTGATTGTTGCTCCTAGTAAAAGTTTTGGTATCTGCTAGACACGTTACATATTATAATAACTATCCACCATGTACCATATGATAGTCACATGGTAATGGGATGGTTTGGATGATATCCATATTGTAAGGTTAGATGACACCAACCACTAAGGAACTAGATGGTCACCCTGTGGATGGATGACACAATCCACTTATTAATTGGATGACATCAATATTGTAACTTAAATGATACCATCTATTTTAGAATCTAATTAGTAGTCATGAGATTGGATGACACCATCCATTTATGGAATGGATAGTCATCATAGGGTTGGATAACAATCCACTTATGAAGTAAATGGTATCCTTATTGTTTGACAAATGACAACCATATGCATGGATGATAACCATGAAACTACATAGTATTATCCACTTAATATTTGGATGGTAACCATGGGATTGGATCGTTACATTATTACAACATGAATGATTACATGAGAATGGAAAGTCATCATCCCTCCTTTTGGAATGAAATTGTAACATCTTAGGCAAATTCCACATCGACAAAGCACTGGAAAGATCCATGGTTCATAATTAAGTAGGAAACCAGCCTTATCTGACAAGACACGTTTTGGGGTGAAATGGAAGTTAAACGTGCTCAGTGCGGAGTACAACAAGGATGGGTGACCTTATGAGAAGTCACCTTGAATTGCACCCCAAGTCAAAACCGTGAGGGTCGAGACCCAAAGCGGACAATATTTTCGTCGGGAAAAGGTTCGAGATGTTACAAGTGGTATCAGAGCCTCTCTGCGTCCCTCTTGAACGATGGTGGGGCAAACCTCAGCGAGGGCGTTGAGTCCAAAGGGGGGTGTATATAACACCTTAGGCAAATCTCACATCGACAAAGCACGGGAGAGATCCATGGTTCATAAATAGGAAACCGGCCTTAACTGACAAGATGCGTTTTGGGGTGAAATGGAGGAGTTCTTGTGAGAACTCCGAAGTTAAACGTGCTTAGTGCGGAGTACAACAAGGATGAGTGACCTTATGGGAAGTCACCTTGAATTGCACCCCAAGTCAAAAACCGTGAGGGTCGAGTCCCAAAACGGACAATATCTTCGTCGGAAAAAGGTTCGGGATGTTACAGTCCGTTCTTTCATGGATGGTCACCTCAAATCCGGACAAGATCCACAAAAACAATGACCCTTCCCCACAACTACCACAATCTATTATATATACGTTGGACTATTTAAGATACCCCAACAATTAAAAACCATCATTGTGGTATGTGAAGAGAAGATTATTTGGAGTAAAGTTTTGGGTGTGCCTACGGTGACATGCATGTCACGGTGACTTGCACTTTCCGGTCGACCTCAGTTAGGATTAGGTCGACCTCACATAGAATTCGGTCGACCTCATATAGGATCTGGTCGACCTCATTTAGGATTCGGTCCACCTCATATAGGATCCGGTCGACCTAATATGTTGTTTCAGTGTAAAAACAGTTCATGGTGCCTACTTTGGATATTCATATCATACAATTGGCTAGATGGAAATTGAAGACTAATAACTTGTTTTGAAGCTGGAGTGTCCCTCTACATATTGAAGTGATTGAGAGCTCGATAGGAAGTTCGGAAGACCATTTTTGAACCTCATCAAAAGGCTATGCCAAATTCGAGAAATGGCTAAGTCTGGAAACGTGTTTGTGAAGCCTATTTTTTAGCTCAATTCGAGAAGCATGAATGCGAGTCGAGTCCAGGAGCCTCTACCACGTTAAATTAGGTATGTTTTTATACAAATTAAAGGAATTGGATGAAAGATTGGATATCTTTAAGGCTTCAAACAAAAGGGTCGAAGTTGCTACGAAGGCTGTTTTTCTGGCAGACTTCGAGCACAAGCAAGCTGCCAGAAAAACAGCCTTCGTAGCAACTTCGAGCCTTTTGTTTGAAGCCTTAAAGATATTCAATCTTTCATTCAATGCCTTGCCTTTGTATAAAAAAATACATAATTTAACGTGGTAAAGACCCATGGACTTGACTCGCATCCATGCTTGTCAAATTGAGCTCCAAAGTAGGCTTGACAAACACGTTGCCAGACTTAGCCATTTTCAGGCAGTTTCCCAGTTTTGGCATAGCCTTTTGGTCAGGTTCAAAATTGGTCTTCTGGACTTTCTATTGAGCTCCCAAGTACTTTAATGTGTAGAGGGGCACTTCAGCTTCAAAACAAGCCTTTAATCTCCAATTTCCATCTAGCCAATTGTAAGATATGAATCTCCAAAGTAGGCACCATGAAACTGTTTGTACACTGAAACAACTGATTAGGTCGACCTGATCCTATATGAGGTCGACCGAAAAGTGCATGTCACCGTGACATGCATGTCACCGTAGCAAAGTCCTAAAGTTTTTCCTTCTTTACTTTTTTAAACCATGCTCGACCTATAGTTGTTAAATGTTTAGAGATTGATATTCGCTCAACCAACCTTTTAGATCTTAAGCAGCATCAGTCCCTTCCTTATTTACAACCTTATTTAAAAGTGTAGACAACGAATGCATTTTCCGTTTCTTTTGAAATAAGAAAGCGTATCGTGGTTGTTTATGAAAACAACGATTGTATTAATTAGTTAATTATTCTATGAATGTAGTATTCGGATATTATTAGTTGTAGTTATATTTATTAAATGACCATTTAATAATTTATATTAAAAAAAAGGACACTGGTACTTTCATATATCGTGCCTCCGCCACCGGTTGCTAGTATGCTTTAGACCATTTAATAACACAAAGTACTTTTCTCCCGTAGTTTGGATGACAACAAGGTTTGTCAATTGAAGAAAGTTTTAAGTATCATGAAGAAGATTATCCTCGTGGAGCATTAATATAACTATGGGGTTTATATTTAGGAAGACAAGAACTCGTATCCCCCCGCTGGCCAACCGAATCCCATAACTCACTGTCTGTCCATTATCAAATGAGAGGAAGTTAAGGTACAGCCAGGACGGTACGGCCAGAGCCACACATATTGTTTCATTGCAGTTCCTTCCTCGGATTCTTTCTTTCTTTCATGGCTCTGCCTGAAAGAAATGGGCTTCCACCGCGTCATGTTTCTCCAATTTACTCCGGTCGATCGGCTGGCAGCGCTCGCTTGTAATCTGGGTGTTTACTCTTCGTTCGTGGTCGCGGTAAACAACCAGCTAATTAAGGTACTATGTTATCCTTCAATCGACTGACTTCATACACGATCGAGTTCGGTTTGTCACGGAACAGTGAACGGAGCGATGTATGACATCATGTTTTAGTGATGATATTCAACAATTTCAACGCCTAGCTAGCTAGTCAAATATAGCTCCACACTATAGGTAGAAAGAACAACATGTACACGTTCACACATTGAATTTCCTATATGAAATTTTAAGTTGTATCACTAGGTCCCATCCAAATAACTTTATGCATAACACCATTGTGTACTCAACCAACCTTTCACTACTTAAATAAGTAATGTAGTCCTCCAAAATAGACTAAATTCACTGCAAAACAATGGGAAAATGGAAGAAGAAAAAAACTCCACGAATGATTAATCTGCTGACTACCTTTTTTAAGAACCAAGAAAACGGCCTTCTTAATTTGGGAGGTGCTGGGACCTTTGCTATATGGTTGGTCAAAGATGACAAAGTCACAAAGGCGATGTGATATGTTAGCTTACTAATCAAAAGGGGTCAGCAGCTGCTAATCATGAGTTATTGTACCTAGTAGAATTATAGTCGTAGTTTTTATACTAATCATGAGTTATTGTAGTAGTACAACTTATAGCCGCAATTATTATTTTTGCAGTTGTAGACTTGTAGTCGTGTTTGCACGTACTACTACAATTCTACGATATGCTAACGGCTAGTTCTATAGCACAACCGGTCACTGAAGAAGAGTAGAAGAGTGTAGTAAGACTACCCACCAATCAATAAAGAACTGGAAACGCCAAACCCCGGCCCGTAACGCACGCTGTTATGATTGAGAGATTGGAATTGGAGGGACGTTGACGCCACTACTCTCGGATCCTTGTCTCCACTCCCATATGAACAAATATAATTATTAAGTCCTTTCCCGTGATTCAGCCCTCTTAGACGACTCCTAGCCTACCAATGCCCAAATCAACCTTTGTTGAATGAAAGAGCAATTTCAGTCGAAACAAATGTTTCGTTTTGGATAGATGTGTTTTAAATGTAAAGTATTTGTAATACATGTATTTGGAATGGATGTATTTGAAGTACTAGCATTTGAAATGCATGCAATTTTAAATTCGTTGTTTGGATACTCATTTGTAATTTGCGTTTGTATTTCAAAATTTATGATTTTTTTATTTAATTTGGAATTTTCTGGCCACTTACTACAAATTTTGGTGAATTACAGTTTGGTACCCAGATTTATTTATTTTTCTTACAATTTAGTACCTAAGCTTTCAAATTTTACAAAAAGGTCATGAAAGTTTGGTGGTAAAATTGTGTTTTGGTACTTTTATATGTTTTGGCTCACACTATATAGTACCTAAGCTTTTAATATTTTACAAACAGGTCCGCTCTTTTGTTAGGAGGTATTTCAAATCACTGGCTGTTGAAATGTATTTGAAGTTGACAGGTGAGGTAATACACTAGACATGTATTTGTAAATCACCCCATGAATTTGACGCAAATCCAAACACCAAATGTAATTGATATCCAAACAATATTTAGAAATCCAAACTCACAAATACCAAAGTCTTCAATTATCAAAATGTCTAGTTTTTCAAATATGATTTAAACCATGGTTCCGTTCAAAACTTATATATGAAATATAGCCCAAAAATGTATAATTTTCAAAAAATAAAATAATAGTTCTCCACGTAAATGTGCTTAAAATTATAGCATGGAAATCAAGTATATCCTCCTAAATATATTTTATTATAACCCAATATAACAATTGCTATTCCACATTAGTTGGTTTGTATTTTATGGGGTTAGATAGCTATCAGTATCGTCGATGTCACGTTGCACGCCTTTTGGGTTTTCTTGGCAGAGAACTACCAACCCATCCTAATTAACTTGTAGACATTTTTTTTTCCAACACAATCTTCTGCCGTTCTGCGTTTTTGTTGCATAATAATGCATCCCACTTTGAATTTAAAATGTCAACTTGAAAGCAACCTTTAATTAATCTATTAACCATATATTTTTCAATTATTTTGCCATTCCCAATCAATCGATCTTGTTTACTACTATCTATAACCACGTCATAAATCAGAAAGTTACTCCACTAATATAATATTAAGGGATTGATTAAGATGGAAGCGAAACATTAGAGTACTAGAAGAAAAGGTTCTATGGATAGGACAATTAATTAATTAGTTAATACCTATTTTTTAACGAGTATACATTGCATGTAGCCTATCAAAAAGGCCAAAAGATGTTAGAAAATAACATAAATCAACCGTTATTAGTGTATTTGATGTAACCTGAATCCATCTAGACTGAATTAATCGTGCAAATGTTACATATGCTGCAACTTATATCTCGTCACTTAATTGTTAATGAACCCAAAAATATAATACATCCTCACATTTTTATGATACATTCATCATTTGAGGTTTATTGGACAGTGAATAGTACTTGATATAAAATTGAGTTGGGATAGATGAGAGATGGAATTTCGTTCTATGTTAGTCATCAAGATTACATGCTCAGTTATAAGCATCATTTGCTCGATCGGTAAATTCTTCTTCCCAAAAAGAATAAGAAAACAACGTAAAACAAGATCTTTCGTTCGTTTGATTCTCATAAGTCACGGCATATGAACTTCTTAAAAGAAAACAATATATAAGATACAAATGTTCTTAAACCCGAGATGGAGAAAAACCTTCGTCACGAAAAAGAAAAAAAAAGTAACAGGAAAGGAGAAAAGAGACTTTATTACTAATTAATTTACTATTGATTAAAGGGTAGGTAAATTTTTTAGCAAGAGGGCACATTATATCAACTATCAAGAACGTGGCCCCCAGGTTTAGTAGGACCCGCTGTCACAAAGTGGCACGTGGGGCTGAGGTTCCTGGGTAAAAAAAAAAAAAAAAAAAAAAATATCAACTATCAAGAACTTCTTCTCCCAAAATAACCACAAGAAAAAGTAAAATCCCAATAAAAATTAAAAATGGTAATAAAAGAAACAACAACAAAAAAACCATTATAGTTTCTTCAGTTTATTACAAGGAAGGGAAGATGGAAGCTGCAGCAACAGGAAGAACACCACCACCACCGCCGCCGGCGGCGGCGATGGGCCGGCCACCGAACAACCGCTTCCACTGGATCCTAATCACCCGGTAAACCCTCAACCTCGCCGCCGACATGCTCAAGACCGCACCTTTCCTCAGCTTCTTCAACGTCTTCCCTATCTTCACCTTCAACTTGCACATCCTGATCTGCAGAAACGACGCCGTCTTCTCCGAATCGTCGGCTCGTTGCATCACCTTGTAGATCAAGAACTGGGCCCGCCGGCGGAATACCTCTTCTGGGTCTTCCTTTTCCAGCTTGGAGTAATTGTTACCACCGTACGGCCGGTTCATAATATTACTGCACATTTTTTTTACTGTGGGGGTAACAATTTTGAGAGAGAGAAAAGGGAAGGGGAGAAACTGGAAATTGAGGTTTAAGACTTTAAGTGTGGAGAGAAGAATGGGAAGGAACAGTATTTATAATGTGGATATGGAGGAAATGAGGGATGAAGGGAGTGGTCATAGTCCTAATCCTGATGTCAAAAGGAGAGTTGGATGATGGGTTTTAAGCAGTCCATGTGCATTTAATATTAGTGTGTGATTAAGTGTGTTGGTTGGGATTTAAAATAATGCCTTGAGGGTAGTGTCCCTAGCTGGCCTTACAATGTACTTTGAACTTTGAAGGTTGTTCTCTTTCAACAAATCTAAAGACGGCTAACGGGCTTTCATGTGATCCTGGTTTGATCTGATGTAAATATTGATCGGGTCTGATTCATTCAAATTGCTATCCAATCATATTTTAGAGCATATTTTACTGTATTCTTAGTGTGGAATCAGAGAGAGTTTAATAACATTGAATTTTTTTGCCTCGTCAATTTTCATAGTTTTTTTATATCAAACCGTCAGATGAAGCACATAGTAAGGTTATGACAAGCTAGGCATGTGCAAACTGAGAGTGATTCAAGTGAATTTGATTCCTGATACGATGTTAAAGAATCCGGGTATTTTATGATACCAATTCCTTACCGTTCTAAGTTATATATATATCATTTGAGGAAGTTGTGAGTCGTGACGGTATATTTAAATAAGCACCGTTAGATTGTAAATTTTCTTTGACTTGACTGAGTACGTAAGATATTAGTAATACCAAAAGACTCCCTTCAAGTCGGACACAACGATTTGAAGGGTAATTTATGTTGAGTATTTAATACTAGTTTATTTTCAGTGCACTTTCTTTTACATTCTATTCCTCTCGCGTAGATATCAATTGTAATAAGATAACCAAAAAAATGAATGAACTAACGTGAAAATCATTTACAATTTACTTGTTTTTAAAACATTTCTAGAATTTTCTAGGTATATACCTTTATAAATCCATCTAATGAAAACTATTAAATACAAGTACCATCAATAATCAATTTTAGGTTAATACATTCTCATAAAGACTCATTTTCTAAAGACTCATTTTCACGAGTGCACCGTAAAACTCACTTCTACCACGTACACACATTCTTCACGACAACCTCTGACCAGAAGAAAGGAAAAGGTCATACAAACGGCGAAATCCTTCCCTAGAACCAGAACGAAACCTTAAGTTACAAAAGAGGGCATTTTACTTTAGGGTCAGCAACTTAATTATCTTTTTAACTTGTTTCCACATCATTGACCATATCAATATTCGACTCGATCTCTTCATGTTGCAGGCGGCTTGGCGCTTTGCTGCTTCTGCCCCAAACTTCGTTTCAACTTCCAAATGGCACTGATTCCAGAGCAAAACCTTCCCCCCGACTTGTCCCTTAATAGACGAGCGGCAACAATGCTACCAATCGAATATCAACGACGGCTACATATATGAAAATTGAGAAGAAGGGGTCAGAAAAAAAAGAAAAGAAAAGTAGTCGACTGTGATAGAGGCATAGAGCATCTTTTTTGTATGTTTGGAGAACGATTTTTCAGGCCGAATGGACCCTAATTCCAAAGGGTTAACTGAATACTCAATCACGAACAGTCGTATAAGTTTTTTTTTTCTTTTTCTTATGGTTCAACATTGAGCACGAACTTGTGGAACCTGTAGATATTTGGGGTGGGTATAGTCGTATAGGTTAAACGTTGTCGCGCCGAACGTTTGAGTAGTCCATTTACAAATGTGATCTCGTTCTAAGTATGACACTTGATCAGTTCATTGGCAGATGTTAAAAGACATTGATGTTGTACGTCCGACACTCGAGCACACAGTCCAGTGACGGATGTTTAAAGACATTAATGTTCTAAGTCCGACACTCAGAGATTTTATATTGATCAAAGTAAAATAGTGGATGACGAAACCACGATGGATATCTATGTATCTACACTTCTGGTGATGTATATATGCACACTCTTATGGATAGTGTCGGGGGATAAATCTCACACACAGAAGAAAAAAAACTTATAGTTTTTATATCACTCTCTTAGAAGTCCCCTCAAACGAGAACTAGTTCAAATGCTTGAAGTTTGCGCAGGTTTACCGTATCTTTGTGCTTTAATCAACTGATAAATATATGAGAAGTAATTGCACCGGCTGAGGCACGAGGTACGGCCGAATATTGCCTGGTTGGGACAGCACTTATTAAATAGCAAAATTAAAGAGCTGAGCTAGATAGCGCGTTACAGTGAAAACGTACGTACGACCACACACATGCCAATTTGCCCAGGCAGAGAGAAAGAAATGGAGGAGTGGAAATTTCCCACCGGCGTGGAACGCAAATATTCGCCCTAATAATTGTGGCCGGCGAGGGAAAGGGGATCGGATATAGCCGGCGGCCAGTTGGGAGCAGTCGGTACTGGAAAACTAATTAAGGTCAACTCACATATGCCGTCGTCTGGCCTGCAGTTTTAGTTCGTTTTCTATCCCAATCAATAATGTCATCACCTCACGTATATGATGACCGGTTGGAGAAGTATGCTTCCTAGATGTGTAGGTAGCAACAAATGGTACACTGAATGACCGAACGCGAAAAATAACTATTTACAATGTCCCGTGTTAATTCGGCCTGTTTAATTTTAACAATGTCTGATCCCGAAAATAACTATTTACGAATCACTACTACAAATCAGATTTCTAACAGGTTGAATTATGCATGATGAAAACGACGTATAATAGTACACTGAATGTACGAGGACGATCGTCAATAACCATGGGCAATGATCGACCATACATATATTCTTTCGATCGGGTGGAATTGTTACCGTGTACATATTAGCAACAATCCAGTTAGGGATGTCAATCCAACCCGTAACCATGTATACCCTACCCGACCGTAACCGGTCAACGAGGGTAACTACCCGCTTTGACGGGTTTAGGGGCGGGTACGGATAATACCCGGTTTCAAAATAAAGGGTAGGGTACGGGTATGGTAATCGATAATACCCGCCTCGCTAACCAAAGGGTCAATTTCCCTTGAGAAATTGAGTTTAGCTACCATTATTGATGATGAAGATGTAGACGATTATTATTTTTGTGTGGATTGCAGAAGCAAGAACAATTATTATGTGTTTGCTGTGTTTATTTGTGTGGATTGTTGAAGCTAGAACAGTTACAAGTATTGAGAATTTTTAATGGACAATAGTATATATGTGCATATATGTGTATAAGTTCATAGTTTAGGATTCGTACCCATGGTTACCCGAATGCCCGTGGTTACCCGGTAGGTAGGGTATGGTTATATAATTTTCATACCCAGTGGTTATTTGGTCGGGTATTTTAAAAAGCTCTACCCGGCGGGTTCGGAGTTGGTATAGGGTAAACCCGCACCTGCACCCGACCCTACCCATTGCCATCCCTAAATCCAGTCCTCAGTGGTTGAACCCACACCGGTAAATAGGTCCGGACATCTCAGAATCTCGGTTTGGCAGCCTATAAGAAAAAGTAGTAGCAAACACATCGATAGTTTCAATTTGAAGGATATTGTTTACAGCAAAATTTAGTTTTCTCGCCGAAAAAACAGATACACAAGAGATAAAATTGAATGTCAATTTGATGTGCAACCAAGCAAAATGTAAAGGGAACAAAGATGAGAGTGGGGAGGAGATAGAGCGGAGAGAGAGAGCTTTCTCCGCGGTCCATTTGATCATTTTTGCTTTACATGAAAAAAATACTAATTGAAGTTAGAGGGTTTCTTCAACCAAGAAGGACGTGAGTCAATTATTCAATCAAATGACATTAAGCTTGTTTTCCATTTCTTCTCGAGAAAGAAGTAGGGTATTTTCATCAATCAAGGGTTGAGTTGCGATTGGAATTTTGATTCACGTGAAGAAGAAATTTTATTTATTTCTGGTTCTAAGAACAACAGTTCCAGCAAACGAAAGTGTATACCGTGATTCTTTTGTCTAATCATAACTGCATGTATTGCGCGGTGGATGTGTAGAAGTAAACCATTATCTCGACAATAATGGGCCCTTTAACGGCCTTGTATTACAGAGTAATGACCCATTAAGGGCCCAATATTGCGCAGTAATGACCCGCGCCCCACAAAGACACAAAACAAATCTATTCCTCCCTTCCTTCCGGTACCGGCCAATTTTCCCCGGTGCCCGCGGTCCAGTTTTCCGTTATTCCATCGCTTCATTTTTTTTCCCTCCCTTCTGTTTCCCGTGCAAACAAGAAACGCCGTCGCCGCCACCACTCGCATCTCGCGAGAATGCAGAGAGCGCCACGACATTCTTGATACCTGCGCCGCTGCCCACCGCCGACCGACATCTTTCCGGCTACCGCCGCCGCGATTTCAATTCATCTTTTCCCCGCCGGCAAACGCGAATTCATACGTGAGTTTCTCTGTCACTTTCTTCCGCTGGGATTCCCTTTCTTGCTTCAGTTTATTTGATTTTTCTTTTTCCGCCGTCCGAATTAGGGAAAGAGAATTTAATTTAGTAAGGTAGTTTTTTTCCCAGGCTCTCGAATTTTACTGAGCATGCAAATTTGCTTTCCGGTCTCCTTTTACATTTAGAACTCCAGCATTTCTGGTGCCTTTGGGGAAACTTTTACTGGATTGTGAATCTATTGACAATGGAAGGAGTAAGGATGATTTAGGTTCAATTGTACGATGACCTAATGACGGATTTATTCAGTGAAACGATTACTCTCTTCTTTGATTGTATCTTTTTCAAACATGTTGCAAACATTTGTTCGACGTAGAGAATCGTGAGAACATAAATTTGGATTTTATCGAAGCTTAACGCCGAACAAAATGTGAATATGAACAATGTAGGTTAATCTTGTTCATCAGGAAGAGCAGAGGGGAGGGGGGAAGCAGCAGCATTTGAGTAATGTTAATACTGATTTGCTGAGTTCAGAGAAATGTAGGCCTAGCTGTGGGCTCAGGATGGTGTAATTCAGGGAAACATAGGGCGAAGAATGTGTTTAGAATTACTTCCTCAATCAAGAGATGTTTGTTTTTGTGGTAGAATTGGTAAATTGTGAATCTTCTGTGGCGCTTTGTTATGCTGACTACTGCATTTTGCCATATATGTAGATATATTGCAGGGGAGACTGCTGCTGCCACATTAATTGTGTGTGTGGTTGGAAAAGCGTTATATTTTTCTCACTAATTCGGCTTCGAAGATTGAAAATTCCGCCTATATATAAGCTTTCGGAGCCTTCGAGGCAGCGAGCAGCTCCCCCGGGCAATCTAGTGAGGTCCAAGGGAAAAGCAAGCCCTATTGTGATCTTCGCAGAGAATAGGTATGTCTCCTTTTTCAATTTTTTTTCCTGAAGAGAAGTTTGTATGTATCACGCGAATTTCATTTCAAAACATCTTATCTGGTTACTGTTCTATATAGTCCAATACAGATCTTGTGTGATGTTGTGTTTGGTTTTGGAATTTCATGTACATTTGCACATAGTTTGTAGTCATCTGTGCTTCTGTTTTGTGCAAGAGAATCCCTTTTCAATTTTTTTTTTCCTACAGAGAAGTTCGTATGTATTACGCGATTTTTATTACAAAATCTATAGATCTGGTTATTGTTCTATGTAGTCCTACATAAATCTTGTGAAATAGAGTGTTATTGTTTGGAATTTCATGTACATTCGCACGTAGTTTGTAATCATGCGTGCTCCTGTTTCGTGCAAGAGAATTGGTTATGGCAGATCTAAGTACCTAGTTGACTTTGCATCTCCTTCGATCGAATTCATCCTGAATGGATCTTGTGAAATATTGTGTTTGGTTTTTGAATTTCATATATATTTGCACATAATGCATAATGATACGTGCTTCTGTATTGTGCAAGAATTGGATATGACAGATTGAAGAACCTAGCTGCCTTTGTATCTCCTGCGACCGAATTTTATATAATCCTGAATCGATCTTGTGAAATATTGTGTTTGCTTTTGGGATTTCATATACATTTGCATTTTGCACATAGTCAGTGATGATGCGTGCTTTTGTTTTGTGCATGAGAATTGGATACGCCAGATCCAAGGACCTAGCTGCCTTCTTATCTCCTGACATTGAATTCTAAACCTCACCCTTTTATGCCTGTCTTTGAGTGTTTCACCTTTTCCTCTCTAATATTTGACTGTATAGGAAAAGAATTTACTGGAGTACTCTCTGTATATTACTATTCGGTAGTGAGGCCAACTATGCTGAAGTCTCATATTTCTTCGGTTGAGAACTCCTGTTTGGGTATTGATGTCTCTTTGGACAATTTTCCTGCGCTCTCTTGGAAGTTCATTAAATTCTTTTCCTATCTTCTAACACAAGAAAGTAGAGATTTGCACTAGACTCTCTTTAAGGCATGTAACCTGAACAAGCTCTTACTTGTATAGTTTAAGGACTGTTTATCAGTTATTTCATTAGTTCTAACGATCCACCGGCTAGACAAAGGAAACTTTATCTCCTATTTTCATCGGGGACTCAAAGAATTCTTATTGTGCATGGTGAATGAAGTATTTTGGACAACAAACCAAAATGAACATTCATAGATGCATTTCTGTTCTGTCAGATAAGGTTTCCTCTTAGTTCGCAGTTTTGAATTTTTTTTACCCCTTTAAGGAATGGATCATTTGTTTCCTAGATCATAATTTACAGGTCACTTGTTTGGGTATACTTAGGGACAGAGATTTGCAATAGCATGCAATCCAGTGAATTACAATGGAATACCAAATACATTCTACACATGTTTTGATCTTGCACAAGAGTTATCAGAGTTTCTTCCATAGTTTACTGTGCAAACACACAAAACCGAACTTTTCTTTGGTAAATACACCTTGCATGGTGGCGTGCGATTGCAACAAATAACATTCATTTACAAATGCAGAAAAGCAAACCATGCCCTTAGACAAGTATGCTTTGTCCATCTGTAATTAGTTGCTATTTCACCTTTTCAGCTGTTTTTTTCTTTCTTTCTATCTTTAGCCGTAGGTCAAGACTTTAAAGAGTTATTCTGCCATCTTTTTTTCTTGCAGTAGTGTTTCTCAAACTTCAAGATGAACCCACAGAATAATCAAGGCTCTAGCTCTTCAGCACCAGTAGACGCGCCTCTGAAGCGCAAGCGTGGTCGCCCACGCAAAGACGAGACCCTGCCCCAGGTAGAATCCATGTCTTCTCTGCTCGGAGGGTTCGACCATACGAGAAGAAACAACCTGCCTTTCAGTCTGAGCATCCCTAGTGGCAATAGCGGGGTGGTGACTGATCAGGCACAAGCTGGAAGCAACATGATCGGCCAACCAGTTTCCGGCGTCATTGATGGCAAATTTGATGTTGGGTATCTTCTCAAAGTCAAGATAGGTGACACTGACACTTACATGAGAGGAGTTGCATTTATCCCAGAACGAGTTGTTCCTGTCACCGCCTCTAATGATTTGGCCCCACAGGCGAGAATGTACACAAGGACCGAGGTCCAAATCCCGTCTCCGGCACCAGCAGCACCACTTCAGCCTCAGGTCCAGGGATCTATTCCATCGTCGTCGGAGCGAATTGTAAAGCAATCTGCTCACCAACCCAACGCTGCTGCTCAGCAATTCGCTCCAGTTATGCTACCTCTCACTGACAAATTCCAAGCAGCAAGTGGTGTGGGACCTTCTGCAGTTGGGAAAATGATATCACAGCAAGTCTCAGATTCAGCAGCTGCTTCCATTTCGATACAGTCAGCAAGTGGCGCGGTTTCCAAACAGGATGAGTTACTGCGAGAGTTTGATGCCTCGACAAGAAAAGTTACTGATGAAAAAGGACCAGGTGCCCCCCCTGCAGCAGTTACCACCTTGGGTGTTTTGCCAGCCAGCAGAACTGTCAGTCTCGATCTTCAAATCCAGCACCAATCCGATGGGCTTAAAGCTAGTCAATCAGCACCAGCCTTGGCCACAGATGAAGGGAAAATCACAAGCCTGGAGCACATCCAGCCTCCTCCTGCGATCAGCATACCGGGAAGTGGAATCTTCTCTTCTCAATCCATGAGCATGTGCTTAGGCAGCCCAACTTTCCCAGGGAAAGCTGCACCACCAGAGTTACCTTCTGCTGCCCCAAAGGTTACTACCACCGACACTCCATCCCTCCACCCAAATGGTGGTGCTGGTGGCCTTGTGGGCAACGTTGCTCCAATCCCCGAACCAGATGCTATGCCCAAGCCTGATTCAGAGGGATCTTCTGCTGCTCTTCAGAAAATACTGGAATCCCAGTTCGGCTGTTCATCTGTTGCTCCGATGGAGCTGTTCGAGAAAGAGAGTGCTGCTGCTGCCACAACTGAACCGAAGCTTGGACACAATAGTAACGTTCTGCCTGGAGTGAGTGAGCCTCAGCTCTGCAATGCTACCCCTAGTGCAAGTGTGGACTGCAATAATATCAAAGATGCTGCTGCTATTCCAGCGACGGAGTCTTGAGGGGATAAAGCGTCATGGAACGATTTTATGGTGCTTAGGATAAGAGGAACTATGAATAAGTAAAGCTCAATGCTTTCATACATGCTGTAGTTTAGGCTTACCATTAGATATCTGAAAAAACCACAGCTTAGTTTTTCTTTTATTTTTTTGTTTAATGAAACCGCAGCTTAGTTTTTGTGTCAATGGTCAGATGTTGGTTGCCTTCTCTAACCAAGATTTTTGTGTTTCATCCCTGAAAGTTCTTACATTTCCCATCCTCACGTGGGTTTCCCAGTCTAAATGTTCAATTTATTCGCTTTGCCTATCTCCATTGGGAGTAAGCATTTATGCACGGAATGGGTTACTTTCATTCTCTCAATTGGTAGGCAAGGTGCGTATGTGCCTCAAATGTCCATGCTCACCATATATAAGGATAAATCAAGTCAAACAACTAAGGATCGAAATATGTTCAAGCTCTCGAAATCGTACCAAAAATCATGACGATTGAATAATGTTTCAAAATATCATCTACATTATGCAAGAAGAATGGATAACAAGATTGAGATAGATCATATATATTATTCCAGAAAGCGGAAAGGAGTAAAGCACAGGTCGCACACGAAACATTAACAAACCTAATAGGACACGAACGATTATTCGTCGACTAGAACACAAACCCAAATCAAGACTAATCTGGCATAATATGAAGATCTCTGCATCTATCGAACAAACCAAGATAGAGACTATCGTCTCATTTCTCGATTGAACGAACCAATATTACCTCCATACGCAGGGAAAAGATAGAAATAATAGAAAACACACTGATATGTAGGATCACGCGTAATTGAGTGCTAGTTTTCATATAGATATCAGCAAATACGTCTTATCACAAAATCCCCTGAAATCTGGTTCACTCACAAAGAGCTGCTGGTAGGGCACATAGAGACTCTGCCCCCGAGTCGGATTAGGTTTGTGCACCCTTTCACTACATAACAAGTTGCAAAAATGGCGAAAACCCTTTTTCAGGTTCTATGATTATACCCCACTTGCTGCTGCTGGGGTGGCTGCTGTTGGTAATTGGCATAAGCCGGGTATCCTCCATAGTACATGTTTGGGTCCTGGGGTGGCGGAGGTTGTGCGTAACCATAGTTCTCGTAACCTTGTGCATAGCCGTAATATCCACCAGCTTGGTCAGCAGCAGCACCACCATTCCACTGATTACTGGCCTCAGACTGCAGTAGGAAAAAATGGACCAAGGATATTAGTTTATGCGTGTAACAAATCAAAACCAGAAGACTGGGGGCTGGGGGCTGGAGGAAGGGCATTGGTTTCACTTCCCAGAAAAAATATGTGAAGCTGAAACCAAGATTTCAGTTCAGATTTGGTGATAAGAAAATTAAACCATACTTTGTTACATAATGCTCAGGTAGTTGTGGAAGTAAAAGATGAGAAAATGATATGGCATAAAGTTCAACATCAACAAATGACACACATGGCCTTCAGGATTCAACATATTTTGGTCATCTCATGTCTGGTTTGATTTTCGGTTAACTGAAATAAAATAAAAAATCCAAATTGAAACCAATACCAACTCCGTATTGCTTAACCAAAACTATATAATTTAGTTCTATGGTTTGACCAAGAACCATTCCCCCAACCTAAGAAAAATGATAACATGTTTATTGGAAGCAAGAAAAAAGACCTGTTTGTTGGAAGAGTTGCGACCCCAGGAAAGTCGAATACTTTGACCACTCAGTTCAGCCCCATTTAATCTATTTAATGCTTCCTCTGCACAACTCCTGATGCAACGATAAAGAGATATTCAGTAACAGGACCACAGTTCCATCGAGACAATTGAGAAGAACAACGCATACCTATTGGCATACTGGACAAACCCACATCTTTTGCCTGCTGGTATCTTTACATGCACCAATTGGCCATATTGGCCAAACAGTTCCCTCAAATGGTCATCCGTGACATTCGAGTCCAAATTGCCAACAAAAATCTGTTACGAAATTTCCACTAGTTATAAACTGTTGAAGTATATAACTCTCAACACTCAATAAGAATGAAACACCTACAGTTGTATTATTCGGGTCATTCTCGCTATCCCTCTGGGTAGAATTCTGAAATGAAGCTGCAAATAGAAAGCAAAGCGTACTCGAGAATGAAAAGAATGCAAAAACATCAAACTTGTCCAACACAATAAGCCAACTATATGTTGGTCAAAGGAAACTCCATTTCCCAGACCAACAGAAATCTGAACCGTCAAATAACTACTCGAAAAAAGTTGACCCAAGGTCAAGAAAAACAAAAACTAAAGAGCAATACAGAAGGCACCATGACATACAAAGAATAAGCAATTAAATGGAGGCACGATCTAGTAAGACACCACAAGTGAACTCATTAGCTGCACACATAATCACCTTGGGCGCTCGCGCTTCTACATGAACTCAACTGGCCTAATGGATCCCAAGCATCCAATAGCTGGAGACTTGTACCTGTGCATAAGGCTTGCCCAGGCACCCTCTTAGCACACTGCTTAGGACCAGCCTAAGTGAGTCCATGTATTAAAGGATAACCGATTCAGCAGAAATCAATTCCAGGCCCCCACAGTAGAGCCTCTCGACTCCCCCTGATTTTAGATAACAGGACTTCTATGAGTAATGGAAGTTTCCTCATCTCAACAGAATGTACTCTTCCGGAATATCAAATATGAAGCGGGGATAGAGGAAGGAAAAGACTCGGAAAGCTGAACCCGGCTCCAAAACCATGGTAGACTGTGTGAAACCTAAAGGTACACTGAATATCTCCCTAGCCTAACATACATCATCTAATAATTGGGAACCACATAAACAAGAGCAAAGATAACAAGGCATATAAAATGGTATCGACTACATCAAGATCAAATAACTGACAGGCATACCTCTCGGAGCCATAGTCTTCTTGTTAGAAGCCACCCCAACTCGCATAGGCCTTGTTGAACAGAAAACCCCATTCATCTCAGTCATGGCACGCATTTGTTCACCTTCATCAGTAAACCGAACAAATCCATAACCCTTAGTCCGCATAGTTGTTCGATCGATCACAACCTTAGCACCCTTCACGGACGGATAGCGGACCTTGAAAGTTTCCTGAAGCAAGTAATCTGTAACATCCGCTGCCAAGTCTCCCACGAATATGGTGTACTCTGGACCATCGTCACGCTTCTCCCCGGCCCCATAAGATGCCCAATTCAGCCTGAAGTTCTGCTCACCATTCGGCATAGGTGTGCCGTTGAAGGTTTGCAGTATTCTCTCTGCGGCAGCATGGCTGTTGAGCTCCAAAAACCCGTACCCTTCCGCTTGATTGGTCATCTTATTCCGTATCACTTTCACTGAAGCAACCTACAGTCAACGCCCGGAAAAAAAAAAAACAAGGTACCTTGTCAGTTACAGAAGAAGGGAACCAAAATATCACTACAAAAGGAACCGTGAGTGAAAGCAGTCGCCATCTAGCAAAATCAGATCCAAACCAAGCACCAAAACTCGAGGGGAATTAACAGATAACAGATCTTTTGCTCCCAGTACTATTCTCCTCTTCTACAGCTTACCTCGCCAGTGTGTGCGAAGCAGGAACTCAGATAGTTCTCGTCCATCCAGTACTGCAAGTCGCCGATCCACAAAGTTCGAACCTCGTCACCACCGCCGCCGTCGCCGCCCTGCTGGACTTGCTGCTGCTGAGGCGGCTGCTGCGCGGCCTGAGCCTGATGGCCGTTCCACATAGCAGCCGGCGGAGGCTGCGATGGAACCCCCTGAGGCATCATCATCATGTACGGAGGTTGCTGTTGGTATTGCTGCGGTGGCATCGCTTGCTGAGGAGGGATTCCGCCGGCTCCCTGCTGTGGCATCATCGTGAAATTGTGAGGAGGAGGAGGATGTTATGCGGCGGAGGATTGAGGTCGAGGATTGGAGAGGAGCCCGGGATGGAAGAAAGGAAGAAAAAGAAAACCCTAACCCTAAAACGCACAGAGAGAATCTTAGCGAAGCAACCGCCGAAGAGAGAGAGAGAGAGAAATGCACCCGCCACAGGCTTTATCGGAGATATCCTGTCTGTCTATTGGAGAACGGGAAAGCGCGGAGTAACAATGAAAGCTAACGCGGTAGTAGCTGGCCAGAATCCAAATTAGGATCTGATTAGGATTGTTAAATGGGCCAAAGATAGCGGCCCAGCTTGCAGAAAACAAGCTAGACAATTTTTCCTCATCATTTTGCGTTTGATATTTAACAACGAAGAAATTTGGGCCCGTAATGGACTATGGTTATGGGCCGAGCTTAGCTCTAATATATTGGGCTTGCGTAACTTGGGCGTTTTATCGGATAGAATTTATTCAGCACACCGCGAAACCAGATTGGTACGTCGTGGCCACTCGCGATCTGATTCGTTAAAATGAGTCACGCGCGCGAAAAGAGCCATTAATGGAATATTGGGAGGGTAAATTATAACGAAATTAGAAAAGTGAGCTGTCATAGAATCGAGCTCTCCTTCTTCAGCCATTTCTCGTCTTTCCGTCTTCTTCTGGCTTTACCGTCTCCCACTCTTCCCGATTGGCAATTCCGAAGGCTTCCAATCTCCGCCGATCTGTCTCTCGAATCCGACGCAGCAACTTTCAGAAATTCCATCGACGGTTCGCCGTTTATCCTTCCGCCGCGCCTGGAACCAGATTTTGCCGTGACTGAGAGGATAAGGAAGGAAGGGAAGCAAGTTTGCTGAGAATCAAAATCAATGGCGCAGGCAGTTGAAGAATGGTACAAGCAGATGCCAGTCATCACGCGGTCGTACCTCACGGCTGCCGTCGTCACCACCATCGGTTGTTCGCTCGATGTACTTTTGCTTCTCCCTCCTCCCTCTCTTCCCTTTCCTTTCCATGTCTCTGTTCAATCAATCTTCGTTTTCCGCTTTTGGAGTTTGATTTTCTTTTGATTTTCGATGTCGCCTGTCTTGAGATCGATTCGTGTGCACAAGGAATTTGGTTAATCGGAGACTGGTTTTTCTATTTCGGTTAGTTGATTTCTAGGTCTCTGAGTTAAGCTTCTGGAGTGGTCCGTTATAATGCCTATCATATTGTCATTGTTGAGATGTAAATTGCAGTGTGTTTTGGCGGTGTTTAGAGAACTTTCATGGCGGGAATTCGCTTGGAAGGTAATTAATGTTCTCGTTGTTTTGCTGTTCGCAGATAATAGCTCCTTCTCATTTGTACTTGAACCCGAGGCTGGTGGTTCAGAAGTATGAGTTTTGGCGCCTCGTCACCAACTTCCTCTACTTCCGGAAAATGGGTAAAGATTGATCGATCTTTCAAAGTTTAGAAGCTTCATTCTTGATTAGGTTATCTTTGTCACTAATGGTACCGGTTTTTGCTTTGCATATGACTCGATTTTATGAAAGGAAATATGTTCAAACATTTCCGAGCCCTATTATGAGTACATAGATTCATGTTTGTGGTGCGAGAATGATATTCACATGACAATCGCCATTTAAACATTCGGTCGAGATCATCGAAAGGCCTGGTTACATGTAACGGTTATACAGTATAATTGGATAAACTACTTGGCATAGTAACTAGAAGGTGCTTTCGCCGGACTTTGAGCAATGAATACTGTAGAGATGATTTGGCTCATCTCTTCTTCCTCTTTGATTTTCCAAGTATGTTATGATTCTGAAGATGATTTTGTTTATAATGCCAGACTTGGACTTTATGTTCCATATGTTCTTCCTTGCGCGGTACTGCAAGCTTCTCGAGGAAAATTCATTCAGAGGGAGAACAGCAGATTTCTTTTACATGCTTCTCTTTGGTGCCTCAGTCTTGACTGGCATTGTTCTTGTTGGTGGGATGATACCTTACCTCTCAGAATCATTTGCCAAAATTGTGTTCCTTAGCAATTCCTTGACATTCATGATGGTTAGTCAATCTCTTTATTGTTTCTGCTTCCGTTTTCTGGTCTCCTTGGGCTGCTGTTTGATTATTCCTTCTGTAGGTATACGTCTGGAGCAAGCAAAACCCTTTCATCCATATGAGCTTCTTGGGCCTTTTCACCTTCACAGCAGCTTATTTGCCATGGGTTAGTACTTAACTGCTGCTTTAATGTGGATTGGATCATTCCACTAGTTTGTTGAAATATACTTAATGAGTTATCGATTGCTTTCCAATCCTACAGGTTCTACTAGGATTTTCTGTACTTGTTGGAGCTAGTGCGTGGGTAGATCTGTTGGTAAGTACTATTGCTGCAGTTTAATTTACATTTAGCCCTACTAACATAGTTGCATATCACTTGTTCAACAATGTGAGTGAGTGAATTCTAGGCTGAAGAAAGTCACGAAGGAGCATGTTGTAGTTTTGCCAACAAATGCATATCCCATATAGTTCTTATTTTGTTCGTTGTAAATGCAATGCTTTAACTCGATGAACTAATTCAAGCGAGAGGTATTAGTTGATGAGTTCTATCACATGACTAGTCTTCATCTCTGGCAGCCTGTTTTGTTTAGCTTCTGAATCAGTACTCTTTCGTTACAATGATTTCAGGGGATGATTGCTGGACATGCGTACTACTTTCTCGAGGATGTATACCCCCGGATGACTGGCCGCCGGCCACTGAGAACCCCATCATTCATCAAGGCCTTGTTTGCTGATGATGCTGTCGTAGTTGCACGGCCAGCCAACGTAAGATTTGCCCAGCCCCCTGCTCCTGAGCTTCACGAAGATTGATAGATGTGAAAGGACAGCCACCAAGCAAAATGTAGCTCCCGAATCGCCTCTTTCGCCCCTGCAAATACAGTGCTCAACCACCCTTTTAGTGTTTCAGCTATCTTGAGAGACCTTAATACTCTTTAGAATTAGAAGCCTTTAATATGTATATAGTATTTTGCTGTGCTTTGTGACATTCTTTGATAGCTCATATCAAAGAGTCAATTGATTGAAATATCTGACAAAGTAACAATGACTGATTTTGTGCCCATTCTATGCTTTCTCCCTGTTCATTGCGGCACTGGTTATCGCGACAGTTTTGAGCAAAAATCAGCTTGGAAGTATCTTCATGTCCTTTTATATCTTCTGTATCACAAAAGGGCTGTTTGGCTTTGGTAGTTCAGGGTTCTCAAGTTCATGAGTTACAGCTTTCGTCAATTCATGTACTTTGGAGATGTGATTTTAAGAATGCGTGTGTGCAGCTCCAAATGATGTCTATGGTCATTTTACGAGCACTGCCTTCATGCAAAAATCTGAACTACGAACATCAATGGACGCTCATGTGAAGCCGAAACACAAAAGAAGCGCACAAGTAATCTGGGATTTGGCAATTTCGCCAATTTGAATCTCAAGCCAAGAAATGAGAGGCAAATTTATCAGGAACACATAAACAGATTAGTAGATTACGAATTAACAAACATGAATACGATCCGAACTCAGCAAACCAAACCTCCTTGTACTACACTGACATAAAGTCCCCCGAGCTCTCAGAAACTAATTCGAAACTAAAGCCCTACTAAAAGATTTTTCTTCTACATAATATTGTTTCCACTGCATACAGACGGTCCATAGCAGAAACAAAAAAAGGCAACAAAAGGAAATTGGAAAAGGAGAAGAGAGAGGAAGCTTCTTCCCTTCAACAACCTGAAAGCCAGCGGTGTTGACAAACGCTTACAAACATTCACCGCCGCCATTATGGGCCTATTCTTACTACAGTAACAAGACAATCTGGGTTGTTTCCTTGGAACTGCAGCTGCTGCACCACTTGCCCTTGACCCGACATCACATTCAAAAGATGAAAAGGGGCTTTCAATGAAGGCGGTGTGGTTGATCTAATGTGCGGAATATGAAAAACCCATGGGAAAAGCAGCTAGCGTATCGGATGATACTGGGCTGATACTCTCTTCGGAGGCAGCTTTCGGAGGATGTAAAGCACCAGAGCTGATGGCAGAATCTCAACCAACTGGAGTTTGCGAGGAGCAACAAATGTTGAGATTTGAGCAAAGTTGGGGATTCAATAATAAACGAAGAAGAATTTACGCAGAGGCAGAAGTCGGATGGGTACCGTGTAGTAGATCAAGTTCAAGACTGGATGATCCAGAACATCAAGGGAAGCGTCTGCGTCGAAAGCGGATAGAAGGACCTACCAAGAAGACCAAGAGATGGAATTTGCACATGAGTTACAATTCAACAGCAAAACAATGCCGGACGAATATTCTGTATTGTGATAAGCCAGGGAAAACTATATGCACGAGATAATAAAATCAACAGTTCTTCTGTACATTGAGGCAAGGGATTGTAATAAGAGTTAAGGCAGATGGAAGTTGATAACTTACCACAAAGCATCGTATAAGGAAGCATGTGAAGCAAATTGCTGTTACTGATCCAACCTGCAAGCCAGCAAATAGGAATCTAACTAATTCTTTAAAATGAATGAGAATCCTAAGGGGACCAAGTTCTCGTATATAGGGCAAAATGAAGACAACAAGAGGAAAAAGAGCAGCCCCTCAACCTATTCATTTCAACTTCTGAAGAAAGAAACAGGGAATGTACAAACGACCAATTTCATTATCTTAATGACAAATGAGATGTATGAACTTAAGTAAACAGCACCAAACCTCGTGAAGCTTCTTCCTTCTCCCTTTCGATTCGATTGGGAAGCGCCTCAGCATGAAGAAGAGTCTGGAACAAAGACACACAGAGGTCTTTACTTATGAAAATGAAGAAACTCGTAGAATTCACTAGCCACAATAGTACCTCGTCTACTTTCAGAAGTAGTAAGATAAGAAGAGATATTCACCTTCCTCCATACAACAGAAATCCTAATGCAGCAATAATGGATACCACTGGAGGAGAAAACATTATGCAACAAGTCAGGACCAATGCTACTATAAGGATCCCAGACCGTTAATTCACATTGCAAATATTTCAACTAAAACAGAAGTGAGGCTTTTTATATCTCTTCAGTATACCTGCAATGAATATCTTCCCAATCAACTCCACAACACTGTTGTCATTAACCCACAGGTATACCCAGATGACAGCCTGATGCATAATCACAATTTTAGAACCCATTGTTTGGAAATATAACAACAAAGAGCAAAAGGTTCAGCAGCAGTATGTATCAGAAGATTGGAGTTGTTTGGTCCAGAATGCCAGACCCAAATCCATACTCATCCATCAACATCACAATCGAGCCAATGGCCATAGATATGCAACCATTAACATAAGCAGTAAAATCGATTAACAAACTGGTGTAGCCCAATGACTGAAAATTCAAACATACCTGTATACAGTATATAATGGCGTTTATGGAAATGTAGAAAACCCTGAGCTTATCTGTCGGCAAACTCCTTGCCTGCAATAAATACACAGTATATGCAGTCAGAGTTCCTTCATCTTAATTGGCACTTAGAAGGAAAACCCAAATGGAAACTAGGAAACAAAAGCTACAATCTTTTTATGACAGATTAAGTTCCAGATACGTACACTAACCTGGTGATATATCTCAGCCCAAAACAGAACAAGCAGGGTGTATGTAGAGAAGAACAGGAGCCCGGGCAGATCCAGCGATAGCAACGTTAAGACCTATTAAAGGAGGGCATTTGTCCAAGCGAATGAGAACTATAACCGCCATCAAACTTCCTCGTTCAACTCAAAAAAAATTCTATAGCCAACTGATTGCCAGGTGAACATAACAAGCAGAAGGTAAAGCCTCTGCTGGATTACAGCAGCAACTAACCTTGGGATGCAAACCGAACACGTGCATGTGAAATCCAAACACCAGGGCTCGTACTGAAGAACAGCAACAACAAAACCCCCCAAAAATTGGTCAATCAATCAACCAATGAAGCCAACACCCCCAAAGAATGAGCAAGAAAACATGACAACAAGAGAAGCTCAAAAATATAAGTTCACCACACACAGCTCACCTCCATTAACAATGAAGTTCATAAGGTGGAATACTTTCTGCGTGGTCCAGCCATACTCCGGCACTCTCAACTCGATCCTAATTAATTGAATCTGCTCGCCGTCGATATTAAAAAGAAATTCACACACAGATACGGCAACACAATCAGAAACTCGAAGCAGCAATCAAACTATCGAGGCGGCTACGGCAAAACCATAACCCCTATAAATGAACTCGGAACTAATCCAACTCGCTCCGATAGGAGATCACTAATTTGGCGCCGGAAAACCATTAGAACCAGCGCCAGATTCGGCTCCGATAGGATAAGCGAGGGTTTCCGAGTTCCGAGCGATCGAGAAACCAAAGGCTATTCACGCGAGGAATCGGATGAATCGAGAAAGCCATGGGGAACTCACCAAGGCAATCAGTGAGACGAGGGAAAAAGCGCCGGAGAGAGTGTAGAAAATCCCGTCCTGCCACTGAGTGGACTCGTTGATCTCGTTCCACCACCCGCCGGCGAGCCCGACGAATTGCATCGCCGGCAGCGGCAGCAGCAGCAGTAGCGGTCGCGTCATTTCTTCTTCTTCTCGATTCTTCCAAAAAGCGGCGAGGAATTTTGAAAAAATCCCTTTCCCCTTCCTCTCCACCGAACAGAAAATCCTCACGACCACGACCACGACGCCCTGTCAATACCAACCCCACGTATTTTTCCAAAGGAAGAAAACAAAAAACCAAAAAGCGGTGAAAAATGAGATCAAATTAAATTTACGAGATTAACCTAGTAATGGAATGATTATTGGATTGATGATTGGATAATGGACACTAATTGTAATTTTCCGAGACTGATCCTGTCTTGTCGACGTGCGGATAATCAATCACGTGGGCCGAGGGATAGGGGTAGGGCAAAGGATCAGAGATGGTGCTGAGTTTTTTTCTTCTTCTTCCCAAGGCCGATTTGGGCTCTTTTTACAGAAAGGAAAAGGCCGATTTGGGCTCCTTGATCGGCCCTCTTAAGGCCCAACAGAAAGAAGTATATAATTGGACTACATACGTGAATTTTCCATAAACAAAAACAATGGCGTTTGTACGGTAAGAAGTATATAATTGGTCAACATTGGGAGAGTGAAAGGAAACGGCAGATTAATTGTTTAACGTTCAAATAATCAAGTACATTATTTTCCAATCATGGAGTGGCTTGCAGGTTAGTCGAGCTACTTTCGATTCTTTTCCTATCGGCTCGAGTATTTAAAATTTCGCGGAAAAAAAAAATTCATATAGTTGAAGTATCAAATACCTTTTTTGTTGTCTAAATTACGTCTTTGGAATACCTTAAAAAGGTTTTTCCCATCTTAAAAGTAGCTCACTAGTTATAATTATGCTGACACTTAAAGAGGTCGGCCAAACTTTTTGGCCTTCATTTTTCACAAGCAAGTTGGTTACTAGTAATTGAACTACATACGTGATATAATCATAAACAGAATATTTGGAATTATATAAAACTAGAAACTCGAATATCATGGTATTTAGTTCTATCCAAACTACACAGATACATACTTTGAATTGTAGTATGCATGATTTCATATGTTCAAAGTTTCGACCGAATAGTTGTGGTGCTGAAATCCGAAGTAGGAAATACCACAGTAGGTGTCTTATAACTACAAGTTTATACCTATGTGCTCGAATTTATTCCAAGGAGAGTGTTGATTAAGTCTAATTTGTCCCAAATGAAATGCAATCAATCATTTAAGTTTTAGCCATGAGCATGTCCGAACTCCAATTGCATCAAGACTAACTATAATCGAACAAAGATAACATATAATGAACAACTCATTTATCTTGATTTATTGAATATCATGTCATTTAGTTGAATTGTTCATTAACAACAACCAATTGTTGTGTAATGAAATAGTCAACTCAATGACAAACGAAGGACTGAATCTGGATTAATTTCAGTTTCTTTATTTTGATAAATTGTGTGTAATTTGGATGCATTCAATCGTTTTGAATCAATTATCTATCTTTCGATCTGAGAGTAAATTTATTTTGATAAATTGTACGATGACTTCATTACCAGAATCATCATAAATTGTGTACACATTTTATCTCCTTTGTTTAAAATAACATAAACTACTAGACAAAATCACTTATCTTTGATTGGTCCCAAAGATAAATATATCATCTACATACAAACATAACGACTCTTTTACCAGAATCATCAAACATTGTATATACAATTTTGTCTCCTTGGTTTAACATAAACCACTTAGACAAAACCACACCATCAAACCACTAGACAAATCCATATTTTTCTAGCGCTTCGTAAACGTCGAATAGAGAATTAGACAAATTTACCATTGAGTATGTGACCTATTCAAAGGCAATTTTCATTCTTCTATTTCTCCATTTTACGAATCATTCTCCCTCTTCCTCATCTTCGAATCATCCCTCTTCCAAGTTACCTTCCGGATATGGAATACACCATGAGACTAGTACGAAGAACACCCATCTTCTACTACCATCGATGAAATACCCATCATCGAAAATTCTCATAATTCCATAGACCGGAACCGGTTTCTTGTAAAGAGCGGTTCGAGCCATCGTACCGGAAAATATTCTTTACGATTGTTGGGACTTTTTGGGGCGAGGGTATACGTACGATTGCCCGAGACCGGGTGACTAGGATTATGATAGAGTAGTGAACAATGTTCACTTTTCGTAAAGAATATTTCCACCCTCAACAAGCCTAGGGTTACAGGAAATTTCTTCGTAGGATAAAACTATCACCACTTTAAGTTCCAGGCTTAAGTACCTAAAGCATACTTAGAAGTTTAGTAGGAAGAAGAATGGATTTTGGTGCGTCCCCTACCTTGCCGAGTCCTCTAATTTATAGAGGATCAAGCGATACATCAAAGGGTTGTAACCCTTCAATTTGTGGCGGTTCCATTTCCAAAACCTTTGCAAAGTTGTCTCATTTGGAATGAATCCGTTAAATTCCATGTAACCAACTTGATTCAGCTTGGTTTGGTTGATCCAATCCGGTATTTCCACTAAATTCCAACACTTCACCAGGGAATTCCCGGCGAATTTCGGCAGGTACTCTCCTCTCAACAGCTTCGACATCTCCGAGAATCAATTGTTGAGGCTCTTTTGTACATATTTATTTCCTGAGGACTGCTTATGTTACTTTCCTTGGTCTTTTACCCTAGCTTCACGTTGCTTGGGGATCAAGCTAGCTTGACTATATATTTCTTTGTTCCCTGTATGCGCCGCACAAGTGAGAACAGAGAACAAAAGAAATAAACTTCATCTCCGAGAGCGTAGAGCTCTCCGTGGACTAGTCCCGTTCGGTTATGAACGGGGAAACCACGTAAATCCTCGTGTTCTTTCGTTTCCGCAATCATCGTATTTTACATGGTATCAGAGCTGTGAGTGGATTCACAGGGTTCTTTTTCGTTCATCATGAGTGGTACTTCGACAGACGATTCACAATCGCCTTCCCCTCTCTATCTCCATCGATCGCACAACCCCAGTCAATTGTTTGTTGGGGAATTACTTACCGACGTTAATTATGGTGAATGGATTGGGGACATCACCGATTGCCTTCTTGCTAAAAACAAACTCGGTTTTGTTGATGGGAGCTTTCCTATTCCCGAGTCGGGTGCTGATCGGGACGCTTGGAGACGTTGTGATGCAATGGTAAAGGGGTGGTTGAAAACCGCCATGTCCAAGGAGGTTCGTAGTAGTGTCAGATTCGCCTCGACGTCCAGAGAAATATGGCTGGATATTCAAGCTCGATTTGGTCAGGGTAGCGCCTCTCGGCTCTACGAACTGCGGCGAAACATTGGTCTTCTCCAGCAGGAGAAATCTTCAGTCTCAGCCTTCTACACTAAATTGCGGGGGTATTGGGACGAAATTCACTCCTTGGCTCCTTCCTTGGAGTGCTCTTGTCATGGCTGTACGTGCGATGTTAAGCAGCGGCAGCGGTCAGTCAAAGAGAGTGAGCAACTCTTTGATTTTTTGATGGGCCTAGATGATGCCTTTTCTACCGTAAAGTCTCAAATTCTTGCAATGAAGCCAACCCCGACATTAGCCGAAGCTTATCGCATGGTCACTAATGATGAGCAGCAGTGCAATATCGCGCACAGTCGGTGTCCCAAATCCGAGGCAGCTGCGTTCCAGATTCAGGGGGAGCGCCGTTCTGATCGGGGTTCTCAACCGGGCGAGCGTGATGCGGATGGAAAGCCGAGATGCTCGCATTGCAACAAGGTTGGTCATTTTAAGGAAACATGTTACAAACTCATTGGTTTTCCTCCTCGCGATGACAGCAAGGGGGAGCGTCCACGTCGGCGCAATGATCGGGGTGTGAAATCCACTCCTCAGGCGGCTCAGGTGGAGGCAGGGGACAGTCCAATTCCTGGCCTTACAGCCGCCCAGTTTGCCCAGCTGAAGAGTTTTTTAGCTGCGGACCAGAAACCGCCCACTGCCTCGTTTGATCCTACTTCAAATATGGCGGGTACGTTATCGATTCCTAACTCTGCTTGGGTGATTGACAGTGGTTGTAATGAGCATATTGTTAATGATGTTTCGTTGTTGGATAATGAGTTGGATACATCTCCAACTCTGCAGGTTAAGATTCCTAATGGTAGTGGGGTTAAAGTTCACAGTATAGGCACTGCCAGTTTGTCTGCTGATTTATCTCTTCGTCGAGTACTGCATGTTCCGGATTTTCAGTGCAACCTATTATCTGTGAGCCGACTTACTACTGATCTTCCAGTGGCATTGATTTTCTTGAGTGATTTCTGTATCATTCAGGACTTACCCTCCAAGAAGCTGATTGGGATGGGTAAGCATGTGGACGGATTGTATTATCTCCGGCTGTTTGATCAGGGTCATCCTATGGCGCATTCTGTTCGAGGGGCTGTGGATAATGCGGAGCTTTGGCATAGCCGTTTGGGTCATCCGTCTCCAGCGAAACTTGCTGTTTTGGAGAAATTTATTTCATGTTCTTTAGCTCATAATAAAGAACCTTGTCGGTCTTGTCTTCGAGCAAAACAGACACGAGACTCCTTTGCACCCAGTACTATTAAGTCAGCATCTTGTTTTGAGCTCATACATGTTGACATTTGGGGCAGTTATCAGACAGCTTCTATTTCCGGAGCTCATTACTTTTTGACTATCGTGGATGATTATAGTCGGGCAGTTTGGGTCTTCTTAATGCGTTATAAGTCTGATGTTGGTCGTTTTCTCTTATTTTTCTGCAACCTTGCTCGCACACAGTTTGGCAAGCAGGTTCGTCGTATTCAGGCAGATAATGGTCCCGAGTTCTCCACAAATCTGTTGACTTCTTTTTATGAGCAAGAAGGAATTGTGCTGCAGACTTCGTGCACAGACACTCCTCAACAAAACGGTGTCGTGGAACGCAAGCATAGACATCTTCTTGACACTGCGCGTGCACTGCGTTTTCATGCCAACCTGCCCATAAAGTTTTGGGGCGAGTGTGTGCTTACTGCAGCCTACCTTATCAACCGTATGCCCTTGGTCACCATTGGCAACAAATCTCCTTTTCAACTGCTTTTTGATCGAGATCCATCATATGAGCATTTGCGCAGCTTTGGCTGCTTGGTTTACTCCCGGGATACTCATCATAATTTGCATAAATTTGGTGAGCGTGGACGCGCGGGTATTTTCCTTGGTTATCCATCAAATCAACGTGGCTATCGTGTTTATGATCTGGAGAAACGTCATATATATACTTCTCGTGATGTACGATTCCTGGAATCAGTGTTTCCCTACCGGGATATGGCAAACATATCGCGTCTTAACTCTACACTGGTTTCCATGCCTCAGTTTGCACCGCCATCACTTGATCATGACTTGGACGATTTGGCCGAGTTTCTCCATCCTCCAAATGCGGATGATCCGCAGACCACAGCTGCCGAGCCTGCATCTCCTTCAGCTGGCTCGCCTCCACCTACGTCGCCTTTCCCATCCCCATCGCCTTCTAGTCCAGGTGATACGTTGGGAACTTCGGCCGAAGAACCTCCTGTCGTGGCCATTCCTGTGGTGGAATCTAGTCCTCCCGTCCCTGCTCCCCAACCTCGAAAGAGTGACCGAGTTCGTGTTACCTCTACACGTTTAAGAGATTATGATGTGAACCTGCCCGGCAAGGCTCATTCGGCCACTGCTGCTTACCCTCTCGATGACTACATCTCCTATCATCGTCTGTCGCCGTCTCATCGTGCTTTTGCTGCTGCTGTATCGGTCGTTGATGAGCCACTTTATTTTCATCAGGCTGTTCGCCATCATCATTGGCGGGTGGCCATGCAGGCCGAAATTTCGGCGTAAGAGACCAATGGTACGTGGTCTCTTGTTTTCTTACCTCCTGGCAAGCGGGCAATTGAGTGCAAATGGGTTTTCAAAATTAAGTTTAATCCAGATGGTTCAGTTGAGCGCTATAAAGCGCGTCTCGTTGCTAAGGGGTTTACTCAAGTTGAGGGTATCGACTATCACGACACCTTTGCTCCTGTGGCCAAACTCGTCACTGTTCGTTGTCTGCTTGCGGTTGCAGTTACCCGTGGTTGGCATATCCATCAATTGGATGTTAATAATGCCTTTCTGCATGGTGAGCTTGATGAGGAGGTTTACATGAAAGTCCCTCCTGGTTTTTCGCAGCCTGGTGACACTCGTGTTTGTCGTTTGCACAAATCTATCTACGGTCTTCGCCAAGCTTCTCGAAATTGGTATCAAAAATTCACTCAGGCTTTATTGGAGTTTAAGTTTGTTCAGAGTCGTGCTGATCATGCTCTCTTCACATATCGTCAGGGTTCCAGTTCTGTGGTTGCTCTTATCTATGTTGACGATGTCATTCTCACTGGCAATGACCTGTCCTTCATCACTCGTGTTAAGGCATTTCTTCACGACCGTTTCACTATCAAGGATCTTGGACCTCTCAACTACTTCCTTGGCATTGAGGTTGCACGCTCGGCCCGTGGTCTTGTCCTCACTCAAAGGAAGTATGTTCTGGACATCCTTGCTGATACCGGTCTGACTGCAGCTAAACCTTGCTCCACACCCATCGAACAACAGCATCATCTTGGTCGTGATGCTTCTCCTCCTGCCCTTGATGCTGCTGCCTATCGACGGTTGGTGGGGCGTCTCTTATACCTCACCGTCACCAGACCGGACATTACCTATGCAGTTAACCTCTTGAGTCAGGCTATGCAGTCACCTACTCGAGCTCATGAGGATGCTGCAATTCGTGTTGTTCGTTACCTGAAGGGAGCACCGGGTCGCGGTTTGTTTTTCCCTACCTCTAGTTCTCTTTCTCTGACAGCCTTTTGTGATGCAGATTGGGCTGGTTGCCCTCTCACTCGACGTTCGACCACATGCTACTTCATTATGTTGGGTTCGTCACCTGTTTCCTGGCGTACCAAGAAGCAGACAGTTGTTGCTCGTTCGTCTGCTGAAGCTGAATACCGTGCGATGGCAAACACGGTTAGTGAAGTCCTCTGGCTCCGTTGGTTACTGCGTGACTTGGGGGTTTCTTCTCCGCGTCCCACTCCCTTGTACTGTGACAATCAGGCTGCTCTCCATATCGCGGCCAATCCTGTTTTCCATGAGCGTACTAAACACGTTGAGATGGATTGCCACTTTGTCCGCGAGCGTGTTCAGTCTAGCGAGATTGCTCCGGCAAAGATCCCTACTGCAGAGCAGCCAGCTGACATCTTCACTAAAGGATTGAGCGTTGATCAATTTCATCACCTCTTTGGCAAGCTCGGTCTTCTCGATATCCATTCCTTCGCTTGAGGGGGAGTGTTGATGCTCTTTTGTACATATTTATTTCCTGAGGACTGCTTATGTTATTTTCCTTGGTCTTTTACCCTAGCTTCACGTTGCTTGGGGATCAAGCTAGCTTGACTATATATTTCTTTGTTCCCTGTATGCGCCGCACAAGTGAGAACAGAGAACAAAAGAAATAAACTTCATCTCCGAGAGCGTAGAGCTCTCCGTGGACTAGTCCCGTTCGGTTATGAACGGGAAAACCACGTAAATCCTCGTGTTCTTTCGTTTCCGCAATCATCGTATTTTACATCAATTCTCCGGCAACTCCCAAAGTACTTGTGCGAAGGTCAGAACTTTCAGTACTTGCTGGCACTGGAGAACAGCTTTTCCGGCGAATTTCCGGATTCCTACTCCAAGTGTAAATCACTCCAGAGATTCCGAATCAACGACAACAAATTCTCAGGAAATATTCCCGACGGAATCTGGGCGATGCCATTCGCTGTGATTATCGACTTCAGTAGCAACAACTTCACCGGTAGAAGTCCCCTGAAATCGGCCTCTGTTCCAACCTGAACCAGTTGATTCTGTTCAACAACAAATTCTCCGGCGAGATGCCGTCGGAAATTGGGCGTCTAGCCAACCCCGAGAGGCTTTACTAAACAACAACTTCTCCGGCTCAATTCCTTCGTCAATCGGGAAGCACAGGATCTATCCCGTCGGAGATCGTAAAATGCATTAAACTAGTAGACCTGAATCTCGACGGCAACTCTCACCAGTCGAAAGCCGCCGTCGACAGCCTGTGCTGTTCGTTTTTGGTCGTCCTTCCGTCTCTAGCTTGGTGGGATGGTGGGAGATAGACTCTCGAAAGAAGGGGGTGAAAAAATACAGAACGATGACAAGATTGGTACGAAGGGTAAATTAGAAACTTAAAGACAAAACAGTGAGGGAATCCTTTAAGCTAAGCGATGTACCAAACCACGCACGAACGAAAACTCTCAAAATCAAATGGTTGGAGCAAAAGATAAAGTATAGATGAATAAATTGAAGGTCTGAAATCAAATTGAGTGAAGGGTGCCTTGCTTAGGAAGGAACTCAAATTGATCATTCCCCTGTTCAACTCAAAGCCCCCTATTTTTCCCCTGCAAAACACCATCACCTGATTCACTGATTCCCCTGTTCAACCGAAAGCAAGAATGGGAACCCTATTTTACCTTGCAAATCCATCACAACAATACCCAATTCACCTCAAAATCAGAAGGATGGTAACCTAAATGCACTTCCCCTGCAAAACCCGGCTCCCCCTGTTCAGATCAAAGGGAACCAAATCCTATTTTCCCTCATCACCGCACTTCCCAATTCAACTCAAAATCGAATCAAAACAAAACAAATGGAGATGATCATCAAACATGTTCAAAAGTGGCAATGACCGAATATCCAGCTCCAACATCGTAGCAAAACAGGAATCATAACCATGTTCGAGCAATAAACGAAATGACTGTTCCATCAGCCTACTCTCCATGGTAAAGGAGACACAGAAACAAGCACAATAAGAAAGACAAACAGGGAGCACAGCTAACCCTTTGTTGGGTTGTTCCAACTCATATGGTGGTTGGATTAACCGGTTTGAGTTTGAGTTTAGAGATTTAGGGTTAGGGTTTATAATTTGGGATTAAGGGATAGGACTCAAAATTGGAAGTCTAGATCTTAGGGCAATCCGCTAATTAGTTGTTATCATATGTTATATCATCATATTACACTATATCTACAAATCAAAATTCAAAATCCGACACCTTATTTAAGACTAGTTTTTGAGTTGGGTGCATTGAACACACTCATTTTTTTGACAACGAACACACTCATTTTTGTGAGTGCACCGAAGTAGTCACCTTATATTTAATATATTATTATTATTGTTATTATTATTATTAATTGGACATCTGAATTCTGAAATGAGAGTTATATAGGGTATTAATCAGTATACGCATTAAAATAGCTCTTCCTTTTATAATCACTCATCACGTACCAGGTCCATTCTTCGGCCCGACCTTCACGGCGCCGGTATCTAAAGAAGAGTTCTTCGTCCGGGCGATTAGCCTACAAACCATGATTTCCGCTGTGCGCCAGTCTAATAAGCGTATTTGTACGTAGTTGCAAGTTTTGGCATCTCTGCTCTTGCTATTTATTCCATTTGGATGATACTTAGTATAATTAAACTCCTCTACCGATTGTAGTAGGTGTCGTGAAATGGGGGGATTTCCTAGTTCATTCGGCCAGAAGTCTTACGCCGACGGTTGGACGATTGCTTTGGTCGGAGCTAATGGCAGCGGGAAAAGTGCGACGGGGAATAGCATCCTCGGCAGAAATGCCTTCCGATCAAGAGCCCGTCTACCTGGTACTACTCTTGTAACCAGTGTCTGCGACTTGCACACCACCGTCCTTGAGAATGGTCAGGCTCTCCACGTCATCGATACTCCTGGTACGTGCGCGTGTATGTATAGAGGTGTCAAATGAATTCGATTTATGGATTGGTAGGCTTGGCAAGGAGAATTCGCTCATGAATTGGATTTATGAATACAAGTGAAATTTAACTTTTATACCGCTATGAAAATTTTCAAAAAATTTAGATATGGCTTGATTCTCGAAACTATTGATCGAAGTAGCTAGCTATAACTATATATGTTGAGATTAAATCAATTATATAAACTTGAAAAGTCGTAGAACATAATAATGTGAAATTTAAGTAATATACGAAAACAAAAACATAAATTTATGAACACACCAAACCAACTAGGGGTGACTATTTGGTCCGGGATTTTTGGTTTTACCCGAAACGGACCGTATAACCTGGACCGCGAGACCGGATAGCAAACAATGCAATCCCGTCTTCGGGCTCAGATTTGAGGTAAAAAAAATCATTCGAGACCGGACCGGAAACCGGATAACAGAAACCAACACCCAAAACCTTACCAACTCCTCACTCTTTTAGGCCTCCGCCCACTCAAATCCCCACAAGATCAATCTAAAATCAAGACCGAATTGGGACCGAACCGGGTCAAGACCGGACCGGGTCAAAATTACCGGACTGTATCCAATCCAATCTTCGGTCCTCTTATTCTCAAAAAGACCAGATCGGGACCGGATCAATTTGGACCAATTTAACCGGACCAGACCGTATAGCCACCCCTAAAACCAACCACAAAACGCAAGATTTTTACAAGTAAGATCACAATTTTAACCAGTGACGGAGGGAGGTAGAGAGCAGGAATTGGATCCAATATCACAGAATTGTCATCAGAGATTCAATTGTAAATTTTATACCATTTATCAACATGCAACCTCACCCTCAAACAAAATGTAATAAACTCATATGAGTTTGAAATTTGTAGAAGTACGAATACCATGTGCTCAATAATAGGAGTCATTGAGAATCTAAAACTCTCGAACATCAAGACTTTAATTTCATATCAAGAACCGTTCAGTTCTAAAAATTTGAGTTGTTAGGAGAAGTTCAGTTGTAGATATGTTATATCATTTGTTAACAAAAATTAGGTATATAGCTTCTGTAGATATGTTATGCAAGGAACGTAAAGAACACAAACAATAATAATTTACGTGGTTTCCCCGTCAAATTATGGACGAGACTACTTCACAGAGAACGAGAGCTCTCAGATTTTTGATTAAGATGAAGAGTTCGGCTTAGGGTTTGCATAAAACCCATCGGCCTAAATAGAGGAGAGTCATACCCTTACAACTAAGCTACACGGGTAAGCTAATTACAAAGTAATCTCTTAATTAAACTAAGTAAACAAATAAGGAATTACAACAGCTTCATCATTATACAATCAAAATATAATAATTCCATAACCGATGATTTGATGAATGGGATATGAAACCAAATATCGTTGACAATGAAATATAATGTTGCAGAAATGAGTGATTTATGTGTTAATATGACTAAATCAATCGATGAACTTCTAAACAGGATTCTCAATCGAAAGTTATGCCACTTATAATCTCACGCAGATGGACATTGCCCGATTCATCAATACGACGACGGGTGGGGTCAACGCCGTCGTCCTTGTTGTCTCTGTGAGGAACAACTACACGGAGGACGAAAAGGCTGCATTTGGTAGCTTCTACTATGCGTTCGGAAGGAAGATAAGCGACTGCGTGATTCTGGTGTTCACCTGCGGCGATGAACTCGAACACCGGAATCGATCTCTAGACTATTACTTGTCTCGGGATTGTCCACAGCCTCTAAAGGTTAACCACTATGTGGGGATTCGAACACAAGGCCTTTAGCCAAACCAACTCTGATACCATGTCAAGAACTAGTTGATCCCAATAACTCGAATTATTGGAAAAATGTTATTATGGATCTTATACCGCTCTCTAATATATATACTACTGATCGACACACATGCAGGATATCGTCAAACTTTACGGGCACCGGAAAGTGTTGTTTGACAACGAGACCCAAGACAAAGGTAAGAGAGATATACAGGTGAGACGGCTGATCGCCCTTGTACACTGTGTCGTGACGCAGAATGGGGGAAACCCATACAAACTATGCTACCCGGACCAACTTCTGGATGAGACAGAGGTATATATTTGTAGCACGACCGACTTATATAATAACCTAATACTAATACGAACTTACCTAATTTTTACGATTCTGATAAGATATAAACTCGATCTATCCAATTATATAACAGTATTTAATTTGTAGTATAACATAATACTACTCGTACTCTTAATATATACGATTGGTTGCTGAAACAGCGGTCGGTGGTGCTCGATCAACTTATTCGTGATCTTTATAGCAACCTTTACCCTCGTGGGTGCCGGAATTCGGAGAACATGGCTGCAGGGAAACTCTGGGGGAATCTGCAGCAACCGGCCGTTTCTGAATTTGTAAGTGCCCGATACACAAAATTTAACCATCAAGGTTTGATGCATTTTAATTGAGCATAAACTTTATTTTCGTGTTTGTGGTTGCTCCACATATATTAAGCTCTTCCTAGGGTTCGATTCTATTGGCTCCAACAATAAAAACTTTCAAGTCAAACTTTTTGTCCATATACTTCTTAGGGGTTGTTTATTATATGAATTTATACATGAGCTATATATATAGTTTTGTTTTCGGTGCACTCATTTTGTGGTGTGTTCAATGCATTCGCTTCGTAATCGTTATTTTGAGCAGACGATTCATGTGAAAAATTTGTCAATCGTCACTTGTGGTATGATGGACAAGAAACACATGAATTTTTACAAAAATCATTCAAGATTTACTTTAATTATTTGAATGAGTTAGGGTTTAGGTTTATAATTTAGGGGTTTGTGTTTGGGGATTCAAAATTGAAGGTTGAGGGATTATGATATTTGATTAATAATTAGTTGTGTTTCTATGTTGCATGTTATCATCGTACTAAACTAATGATACCTATTAAAATTCGAAAATCGACGTGTTATGGCCACTTATAGAGTTGGGGTGAAATAAATACACCCAAAAAATTGAATACACCGAAGTAGCCACCATATATGTATACAGTACGAGTAGCGAAACATGCATACATCATCATCACTCATATGTAATCGAAACCAATGTATTTTCATTGATATATCAGACCAACTTGGAGGATCAGATCAGGCGGTCAGTCGTGTGTCGGGAGCCGAATAGTGTGGTGCGGTTAGCCGTGAAGAAGACGACGTCAAGAGACAAGTTCGCCGATCACCTTCACGGCCATCATCGCCGGCAAGAGTCTACTAGCCGCCGTTGCTCGATCACCATGCATGCATGCGTCAGGAGTACTGGTGGTTGGGCCCTACTTGTTGTCGCCGTCTCCCTGTTCTTGATTGCAGCAGCAACAATGATACTCCTCGGCGCCGTTGGCCCTGCGGATGATGATCAGGTTGATTCAATGAGCAGTAGTACTAGACTTCCATTTCCTGGTGGCACTACTACACTATTGTGCTCATCTTTCTCCGTGCTCGGGTTCCTTGCGCGGTGGTTGATGGCTTGATCAAAATAATGCTTATGCAATCAGTTAAAGAGCCATAGACGACAGAATGATGAAAAATAATGCTTGTGCGCGCAATTAGTTGCGTAAGTACGAAACATAAACTCTTTCGTGCCCGATTACAAACCACAACCTCAACTCCAACTGATTGCATATACGTCCAAATATGTACATACTTCAATACCCACAATGCTACAAATCGAGCTAAATCGAATAAACGAATTACACACACGATATATGAGATATCTTCGAAATTCGGGACTAATCCTCGAGAGAGTATCAGCCTATCTCCGAGCTCACATCTTATTCCACTAAACTTGGCAATCGGCGATAGCTTAATTACAAGGAGCATATATAATATATGTCTGCAACCCTAACTCCCCATGCAAACCCTATACACGACGTCCAGCCACATACGGGTTCCCAAAGCCACAAAACCACCCATCCAAATCCAACCACAAAACTACTAATTAAGCCCAAAAACTATAAATATGTACAAAATGGGCCAAACGAACAAACCCAATAGCCGTGGATGGGAAAAAGATACCAAACATCCGGTTGCCACAACATTGTTAATAATTATATGCATCACTAACAAACCAACTCATAAAATATAGATCATTTTTCTTATAAGCTCGAGTTGGCTCGCCGCGCTAGTCACAATGTTGGGACATCTCATAAGCTCAAAACGAGAGAGAGTTCATGAGTTGTACTTAACAAGCCACCTAATCGAGCTAGTTCACGAGCCGAACAAGGCTGAGCTCAAACTCGGCTCGTTTATTAACGAGTCGAACGTTTTTTTTAATCGAACGAACTTTTATCGAGTTAAAAACCGAACTGCTCACGAATAGCTCGGCTCATTAACCGCCCTACTTTTGATCCAGTTCTGCCACCTCACATTGAAGCGCATGTTTGATATTATGTTGAGCACGCAACCCCAACTTCCAGAATCAAACGCGTTTTCTATATCGAGCTTAATTATGGTTCAGATAACAAATTGGGTGTTCTTAAACCTGCATCGAAGACAAAGAATCAACCTACTTGACCATTGACAGTTCTAGAACAAAGGGCTCAACATCACATTGAAGCTTAAGCTCGGTCAAGCACAAGTTCCATACATCCTTTGCACAACCATTTAAACCACATGATTCTATCACTATCATGCTTCTAGCTAGAGGTCAATCATAAAAATAAAAGTTCAAAGATCAACCATTGATATAAGGCAATTCAAAGCATATCCGTATCACTGAATATATGTTTGGGGCCGGGTCGGCTAATTAATCAAACCATACCTCACTGCAGTGGCGTATCCAGGATTTTGGATAAGGGGGTGCCAATTTAAAAAAAATTAAAATGACTATCAATATTTTATAGTGACCCACGACGGGTTCTCATATTTTGAAAAGTCTGTAAAATACATTCATCATCAAGACTATCAAGAAGCTCGCTTGTTAGGGTTAAATTTTTGTTTACTTCTTGAATAAGCATATGTAATTATGAGGTTTTTTTAATTTAATTTACTTATTATTTGTAAACAGTAAATTATATATATGCAATAAAACGTATTAGTTTATCATGTAAGTAATTGTGGTTTAGTGGAAGATGTCAAAGCTAATAGTAAGGGGGTTTCACGTTCAAATCCTAGCTATAGCATAAACTAATACCCCTATTTTTTTATGTTTTAGCCCCGATCCAAGGGTGTGCCGTGGCACACCCTTTTAATACTGTGTCTCCGCCTGGCTCACTGTATATTCGTTTAGGCAGAAAATCAAACCATAAAATAAATTGAAGCCAAGAGAAAACGTGTAAGAAGTAAAATATTTCTCTATAATTGGTTGATTTACAATCTGAACGGGGATACCACTATCCTAGTCTTTATCTTATTGCTCCGGCTATTGAATCACTTGAAAGTTTTTTTGACAATAAAATCACTTGAAACTGTTGTCAAAATGTCTTGAATTAACAAGAAATTTAAGGTTTAGTTGTTAACCAGTATGGACTTTTTGAAAATCAACACTAATAAGATGTAATCTAGTTTATTAAAATCTTTAATTTCATCTAAGTGACTTGAGTTCAAGTCTCACTAAAGACTTATTTATGCTATTTTTTCCTATTGAAAAACGCATAAACTAAAACAAAATAGGTAGTGGTTTGAGCGATTAACCATCTAAACCGGTCATGAACGTGGTGGGGGTAAATTGATCCAGTTTGAGGCTGCATGAACCGAAATTAGAAATGAATCCAATCATTCAATAGCTACTAGTTTACGAGTTTAGGATCCAACTTCAGGTTGTGGACAAAATCGTCGAATCTAACTTTGTCACAGATGCATCGTGAGGGAGCTAAAAAATTTTAGAATGCCTATTGAGAAACTATTCTAGAATTGTGACATAATGAGAGAAGACATCCACCTCCTCATCTTCTAAAATTTGAGGGAATAGAGTTGAAGTTGAACTCCAAACTCAATAGCTAATTACAAAATCTTGAACCTCATAAGTGAATACACAATTTTGAAGATATAAAAGGATGAAAAAGAGAAAATCTTTTGACAATGTTCAAGACTTGAACTTTTAATTTTTCCCTTTCGATGAAATACAAGAGAAGGAGAAAGAGTAAGCTAATGGTTGGAGTACTGAGTCCGGTTATGAAGATAATTACGATATGGAGAAGAAGGGAATGCTGAAAGGTCGAGATAAAAGTTTCAGTACCCTTGGGCCCAACCTGCCATCTCCCTTGGGCCCAACATTCCCATATCCCCTTCCCCTAACCCTCCCGATGGGCTTCCCCAACCCGGCCCATCCAACCACTCCCCTGCTCCCTCTTCCGTCTTCCCCCATCCCCAGGGACAGAGCTAGCTTGAAAAGCAATCCCTAATAAAATTCAGTTCAACAATGTAAATCCCTGTTTTATATACGAGCGAGAGCAGCAAACAGCTCAGGGGAAAAGTACTCAGAGCAACCAACTGCTCGGGGGAAAAAGGGTTTGTGGAAACAAAGCCAAAACGCAACTCTGCATGAGTGCAAGCATCTCTCAAGCAAGAGCAACCCCCAAAATTTACCGGGGGCAACCAACTGGCCGGGACAAAAAAGTTTCTCTCGGAACGAAACAAAAAGTCAGCTGGATTATTCAGAACTTTGCATGAATCCACCCCTTCAGTCCGGCACGAAACCACTCTGCTCTATCGGTTCCGGTTGTTATGCGGAGGGTCACCAGCTAGCCCGTGGCGTAAAATGCAGATCAGGATCAGGACGAAGGTGATGATGCCGGCTTCTACGGGGTGCCTCTCGCCGTCGTTCTTCCAGGGAGCCCACGCCATGATGGCAGTTGAGCTGTATGCAGCAAAATAGCAAAGAGTGATCAAGATTGATTAACATACAGATGCAACAGGTAGCAGCAGAGTTCTAGTAAAGTGATGGCCAAGTAATAAACAACTTATCATCTTCCAGCTCATAGCTACTAACCTACCTTGCATTCTGCTCCCATGCATATAGAAGTAATCAAGACCATTGAAGCATGAGAGTTTTGCCAAAATGTCACAAGGCAAAGGACCGTGTGACAAGGGCACATTGGAGGGAATTTACAACAAGCACAGCAGCTATATACTATCTAGAAGAACTGAATTCTAACACTTTGCAAACTGAACGAAATGCGAACGATCATGAACGAGAGAGCTCTAGCTAGCTAGGATCCCATTCGAAAAGACCCTCAAATGTTATCTTCCAACTGAACAGTACAATGAACAGGCCTTACCAGATGTAGAATCTAGCAGCCTCTTCACCACTAATCGGAGGCTTTGAATTGAGACTCAAATGATGAAGTCCCTAACTCAGTTAGACAACCAAAGGGAAATGGGGATTTCAGAAGAAAACAGCTCGAAAAGAGTGGATGAAAGAGGATATTAACGTTCATGCTTAGTCTCAGCTTCTCTTAATCCCTTTTAATCAAATAGTGATGTGGGCTTAAACAGTAACTTAATTAGCCTTTCGGACTTAAAGAGGCCCACCAACCTTGATTAGGCTTTGAGTTAATCCGAAAAGAGAAAGCCCCTAGCTAGTTTAGAAGCTTGAACAAAAACAAAGTTCAGCTATAAGCAAGAACACAACCATCTACAGCAAGAACAACAACAAGAGACCTCCCCGGGAACGAGACAAAGCAATGTGGATTGGCTTGTATTTCTGCCCCATAAACCCTAATAGGTGAAACTAGCTATAGCATACACAGATTTCGCCGGATTAGCAGGAGCCCTCGCTCCCCCTCTATCTAGATTCAAGAAACTCTGCATCTAATTAACAAAAAGAGGCAGAAATGGCTTACCCAAGCAAAGCCGAAGTTGCGCCGAGCTGCACCGGGAATCTGCACGCTTGACTCACGAACAAAGCGTAGAAACAGAAACCGAGTAAAATGTAGGCAGTGACATCGGCGTTGTAAATGAACTCATTGATCAGAATCCCAAACGCCATCATGACCATCTGAATGGAACAGATCCATCCCCACCTCTGAGTAAACTGCCAATTGCCCCACTCCCTGTTCGGCTCCTGTTTCCTCGGAAAAACCAAATGCCACCGCCGGTGCCGAATTCGTTTCTGGCGATGTTGATTCGATGTTTCGCGATGGAAACTCTTGCGGTGCCGTTGATCGAATGCACCGCTGATAGCTGAAATCGAGACGACCGTCAAATATCCGCCACCGAATGTCGGCGTCGTTGATTTGATCGGTGCAACTCTGACTTCTGAAAACAATGACGATCGTCAAATATCCACCGCCGTGCGATGTTGATTTGATCGACCGAACAGAAAACAAAGAAGATCGTCAAATATCCGCCGCCGGTGTCGGCGTCGTTGATTTGATCGATACACCCTTGACTTCTAATCAAACAACCGTTATTCGGTTCGCACCTCTCCAAACTACGTTCGAACGAGGGTGTTTGAGTTTTGAGGAATCTACGCTACCGCTACTCCTATGGAGATTCCTGTGGAGAGCTCCGCGACTACGCTACGACTATGACTATGGAGATCCTTCCTGGAAGGAGAGCTCCGCGAAGGAGTTACAGAGAAAAAGATAAGTTTGACAGAGTTGTTCTGTGTTGATTTGGTTGTCTCTTTCTCTCTCCTTGCTCCACTGCTTTTATTCGAAAAACTGCTTCGTAGTCTTCACGCTCGGTGGAACCGCTTCCTCAACTGCTCCGTTGTGAAATCCCACGTGTCTCAACCGCTTCGCTCCTCAAACTGCTTCGCGTGAACTTTACGTGAGTTGTTTTCATGATCCCGCGATGTCGTTTCCTTTCCCAAACAGCTCCGCTTGATTCTACCCGCGACATCGTTTTAATATTAAACGACTCCGCTTCCAGCCTTGCGGTGTCGTTTTCTTTCCCAACCAGCTCCGTTTGTTTTTTTTTCTTCCGCGACACTGTTTATTATTAAACACTGTCGTTTGCTAGTATAGCGGTACCGTTGGGCTTCCTCGCGGTACCGTTTTTAATTCCGCGGCGTCGTTTCTTTCCTCTTGCGGCATCGTTTTCAACTAAACGACACCGTCCTAAATAATCATTAACAATATTAGTTAATTAATCCGGTCATCACTAGTTATGGCCAACGACATCACCTGCGCCACAACAACTCCGTTTGTTTTTCCCTTTTACGACATTGTTTCTTATTTAAACACTGTCGTTTGCTAATCCGCGGTACCGTTGGGCTTACTCGCGGTACCGTTTTGAATTAAACGTCACCGCCGATATAGCCAAAAAATACTAATCCATGGAACGCGGCGCAGTCGGCGCTCGCATTGGGCCGGGTGAATTTTGGTCACTTGCCCGATATGATTTTTAATTGATCGGTACCGCTTACCAGGCTCTCGGGCACCGTTTTTAAATCCGCGGTACCGTTTTAACTCTCCGCGATACCGCTTGTCTCCATGCGGTACCGATTTTCCCCTTCCGACAAGGAATGAAGATAATAATTAATTAGAGAAAAAAAACTCCTTCTCCATCAAGAAACCACCTACGCGGCCCCCTTTTGTTTTTCGGTACCGTTTTAACTCTCCGCGGTACCGGTGAGCTCCCTTGCGGTACCGTTTTAACTCCAAACGATACCGTTTTTTAACCCGCGTTATCGAATTAAATGCCGATACTAATTAATGCGGCATTTAATTCCGGCCAAATTAATTTTAGGTGTCAACAAATGCCCCCCACAATTTGGTTTATAAGAATTATGAACCAAATTGTTGACACAACTCAATCACCTAAAATTGTTCGATTGAGGATATCACTTCCTTGCATGGCAATAAAAACTTTGCCAATCCTGGACTTGTTCGGGTAGAACACATGTAAATAGACGTCTCTTTTTCTCAATTATGTTGTGCCCAACAGGATTGTGGTCTTTTCCATTAATTTAACATGCGGCCATAATTGATAAATACTTATATTTTTGTTTTTTTTTTTTAAATTTCTGCCAGAGCTGCAACAGCGGCAGAGCTGCATAAAAAAAATAAATTCGGCTGTGGAAACAGCGGCCAGTGCTGCATGACTAGTACAAATGTTTTTTTTTTTTTGCCTATTATTTTCCTCCACCACCAGCGCTGCTTTCATTTTTTTTTATATATCAGAGCTGCTAGCAACAGCGCTGCACGCACAAACAAATTAATTTTTTTTTTTATTATTACCAGGCCTGCTAGCAACAGCGGCAGAGCTGGAAAAAAACCTTTTTTTTTCGCCAGGGCTGTTTCAGTGGCAGAGTTTTTTTTTTTTTTTTTTTTTTTTTTTTTTTACAGCATTGTGTATCTTTCCCTATCTTCCAACGATGTTGAGAAAAGAGAACAACACCGCTTGTTATTTTGAACTATTGCCAACGATATTGTTGTTTCTTCTTAGCAATGCCGCTTGATCATATTATATAATATTTTCTCTATAACATATTAGGTGGCCTAATTTAGCCACGTTATTTATTAACAGTTAAATAAGAAACAAACTAGACTTTGGCATAAACCATCATGCCAAAAGTCCACACCCACTGCCAACTCCATCGATCAAACCAAACAAGCCATCCGTGAACGCCATTACTCTTCACAACTGGCTTTACACACGACCGAGAAGTTTTGAAGTCGGTGCTGGATTGAAACTTTTTAGCTCGTCTATCTCGATCATCCTTGTTTGAGATCCTACAAGCTTGACTTGGCTTTACTTCAGCCATAAGTTTTGATCGTTGACATGAAAAATCATCGGTATTTTTCGCTCTTGGCAAGACATTCACATTTTTTGACATCTTCGTCTTGCCAAGTCGACCATGCCGCATTGCCTGCTCAGACTGGTCCGGTTTTGTCAGTTGTACACTCTCACAATGTTGTTGGGAGTTTGAGCATCGAGATTTACTAGTCCATCAACACGTGTGTTGGTATTTTGTTTACCACGACCATGATCTTTGCACTTATCGCACAACACTTTGCATCTTTTGAACTTCCACGTGAGTTTGGAGTTTGTTTGGCATTGGCCTTGCCCCCCCAGACCACCACTCATGGATTTGTTCCCAGCCAGCACTGGTGTGGCAACCCTATGTCGGGCTCGATTAAACTTGCCCCCCTTTCCACTCAGTGGAGCCTTTGGCGACAATTTACACGAAGGAATCGGTTGAGCAATACCAACTTTCGCAGCATTGAGTTTTTTCACGTGATCACCACCTCCATCTTGAGTAGTGTCTGTGGTGACCCTAGTTTGACTTTTCCTAGAACAAGGTGGATGTGGCAAACTTATTTGCCACTTACGGTGTTGTTTCTCCTTCAATCTACCACGAGATGGGATGGCATGCCCCCCGAGCGGCTTAGGTTGAACAACATTGTAAAATTTATCATCTTTCAAGATATCACAGTTGTTCTTCCTAATTTTATGAAACTTATTATAAACACGTTTAAATTTTGTTCTTTGTTGTGGCTTTCGCAAGACCGCTCTAACTTTCCAGTCCTTCAAAACAATAGTGTTCACAGGAGAACCAACATGAGAATTGCTGGCCCCTAACGCCACTGTTTTAGCCACAAGTTTAAGTGAATCCTTATTGGCAATACCGGAAACATGTTCATCTATCATCTCAAAAAATTTATCCATATGTCTTCCAAGAGAATCACAAGGCTTATTTAAAGAGATAAAATAGAGATGTACCTGCCGGTAATACTCTTCTACAGATCGACGAAGAGACAGGAGTGCAACATGCCCATCGATGCTTGACATGGATTGGGGCCGCTCCTTCATCCAACCGATATGTCTATCTGCCTCCTCTGCTTGGTCAACTTCAATGCCGACCACACGCTCCACCTTCATAGATTCTTGTGGAAGATCAACATTGTTTTTTCCATGCCACAGAGCCATATTTCACTTCAAACACACGTGTCCCACCAGGTGTGCCAATTTGTTTCGTTGGCGAAACTCGCGTGTTCAATGCGCACTGGTTTCAAGGAAACACAAACACAAAATCAGCAAAAAATCGTCAAATATCCGCCGCCGGTGTCGGCGCCGTTGATTTGATCGATTAAAATAGAAACAAAGACGATCGTCAAATGGCCGCCGCCGGTATCGGCGTCGTTGATTTGATCGATGCACTTTTGACCTCTAATCAAACAACCGTTACTCGGTTCACCACCTCTCCAAACTACGTTCGAACGAGGGTGTTCGACGAATAAACAGAGAATCGAACCAGGAGTGTTCTAAGTTACGTTACCTCTACTCCTATGGAGGTTCCTCTGGAGAGCTCCGCGACTACGACTACAAGCTACGACTACGACTCTGCAAAGGAGTTCTTTGACAGAGCGGTTCTACGAAACTAGAGAGAAAAAAGATAATTCTGCAATGGTGCAGTTGTGATTTGATTTTGCCGTCTCGAGCTTCTCTCTCTTCCCAATCTTTATACTTCGCGCTTCTCCCCGTCGTAGTAACTGCCTTGGCGCCTTTGTCTCCCACGTCTTCATTCCTGTCAACTGTGCAGGTAACTTCCTCCTTGTTGCGTGACAATCACGTGCCCTCGAAACCGCTCTTGCTTTGCAGAAACTCGGCGAAACGACCTACAACCTTGTCCATGTAACGATGCCGATTCACCAACACCACGGCATCGCCTTTCATCAACCGGTGTCGTTTTATAATCCGACTCAACTGCCCCGACCCGGTTTAACCAACGACATTGTTAGTCCGTCAAACAACGTCGTTCTATACTCTTGCGCCATCGTTGGGCTTACTCGCGGTACTGTTTTGGATTAAACGACACCGCTGATATAACCAAAAAATATTAATCCATGGAACCGCCGCAGTCGGCGCTCGCATTGGGCTGGTTGAATTTTGGTTACTTGCCCGATATGATTTTTTAATTAATCGGTACCGCTTACCAGGTTCTCGCGGAATCGTTTTTAAATCCGCGGTACCGTTTTTCCTCCTCCAACAAGGAATAAAAATATTAATTAATTAAAAACAACACTCCTTCTCCAACAAGAAACCACACGCTCGGCCCTTGTTTTTTATTTTCGGCAAGCGGTGCCGTTTCCAGTGCCGCGGTACCGG